CCAAGGGGTGATATATCACAGTGACGGTCATACCTCCAGGACCAGATATATAGAACTGAAGATCACAACCCAAGGGGTGATATATCACAGTGATGGTCATACCTCCAGGACCAGATATATAGAAGTGAAGATAACAACCCAAGGGGTGATATATCACAGTGACGGTCATACCTCCAGGACCAGATATAAAGAGGTGAAGATCACAGCCCAAGGTGTGATATAGCACAGTGACGGTCATACCTAAAGGACCAGATATATAGAAGTGAAGATCACAACCCAAGGAGTGATATAGCACAGTGACGGTCATACCTAAAGGACCAGATATATAAAAGTGAAGATCACAACCCAAGGTTCATCTACATGGCTAAACTTTATTTTATATAAAAAGTGTTTCAGTAGTTTTTATCACGGTTCCAGTGTAGAAAATATGCTTTTTAAGCCTACAATCAATAAAAATTATGTATCCTTTCACCGTCTTAAAGATTAAGGTCTGCTTATTGATTGGCCATGATGCATTATTTTTTATGGTAAAACCTAATTTCTGTACAGGCATGTCATGTTCACATGTAAGTGAGACAGATTTCCAGCAGTACAAGCTCTAGTCATTACCTAGCCTTCACATCTATAATGTAGAGATTTACCAGCAAGCCAACTCTATTGTTTGCCAGGGTTTGAGGCCAATATCCTGATAAATAAAGCAATTTTCTTGTTAGGATATTGGTTCAGGAGATAATTTCAATTTAGGGAAAATAGTTATACCTTGGGACTCAACATGTATATATTAGATAACACAGGTTTCATTTACTAAGTATGACTGGATTTTAAAAGACCAATTTATATAAGACCATTGTATCATTTACTTGAGAAATTACAGTCACTCCCAATGTTCACGTTGTAAATATTCCAAAAGCATTTATGTGTCATCTTAAACACATTTTATAAATTTGTCTTTGTTCTTGGAAGTTCTGTTTGGACATCAAATGTATGTGAGATTTGTCCAGATATTGATTTAGTACATGTATGGATTTGACTGAGGAAACTCAGTAAAGGTAGAACTGCATTTGTAATTTAGAATTCCAAGTTGTACAGTAAAACCTTGGTAAAATGCCTTTCATTTCATTTACCACCTTGCTTACTGCCAATGCAGGGTGTCCCCTTTTCCTTTAGTTAATAGCAATTCCTTTGTATGTCTCTCTTGATACATCCCCAAACCCTCGTCTATCACAAGTATAGGACACATGGTGGTCGGATAACAAGGTTTGATTGTACATGTTAGTCTGTGAAACAAAAGTAGGAACAGATTAAAGTTGTGCTTCCCTACATAAATTTTAGAGCTAGATTTTGTTACTTTTTCTAACTCTGGACAAACAGATAATTTGTTTCCTAGACTGTGTTTGATTGTACCATACCATTATTTGATGTGATGTGTTCCTACTGGTTGACATTAATTGATGTGCTGTAACAGAGAGTGCCTCATCCTATATGTGGGTACCTTTATTGTTTCTGCTAAAGTCATCACCTTAGTCTGCTGGAGCTTGTCCTTGGGAAAGGTGAAGGTCATGCTGTATTTATCCATCCTCTGGGGCTGCAGGCTTGAAGGAATTATCTCCAGAAATAAATAAATTGTGTAAATCTACATAAATATTTTACTATTTTTGGTATCTAGTCTGGCCGTGGTGATGAGGATGGACTCTACTTCATTCTTGATCAGATGTAAATGCAAAATTTCATGAAATCTGTCTCAGTAGTTCCATTTAACCTAGTGCTTATTTATCAAAATCAGCAACAACAAAAATACAAAGGGCTACTCTTTTTTTTTTCTTTTTTTTTCTCTTTTCCAAATTAATCAAATGCTTTTGATCCCAAATTTGAAAAAGCAAGGCTATCACTCTGGTGCTTTAAGATCACCGAGTCTAAGGTAGACAAAAGTCTCTTTAATGATTCTTCTTACATACTACTGATGCATCATACAAAGTTTGATGGATCTTGTTAAAGGAATCAGGACCTGTATTCATGAAATCAATGATCAGCAGCTTCATATGTAAAACCCAATTAATAGCTACACAGGCAGACACACAGCCAGTTTACACATGGAGTGGTATTTAATTCGTAGATATCAACAGAACAATCCCAGTGAATTGTCAGTCAGATACAGACAGATATGTACTTGTTCTTGGTGTCTGTTGCTAAAAATGCCTGGATTTTACCATGTTGCTATGGTAACAGAGGCACATCTGTATTCGATTGTTACTTGTAATGACATATCAGGATTAAACATGATTGGATTATTCTATGAGATGTGATGACAAGAGTCCAATTAGTTTTACATTACCAATGAAATATGAAAATGTACCATTTCTCAGTTATTTCACCAGAAATTGACCTAGTGTTTCATTTTTCACTACGTTTATCAGCTAGTAAAAACCTTGCGATCAAAGTCAAATGCATCAATTTTCATATCCCCGCTTCGATCGAGGTTAAGGGTTATATTATTGTATGCACTTTGTCTGTGCGTCCGTCTTTGCTGACTGGTTTCTAGAGCATTTCTCAGCAACTATTTCAGGAGTCAGCATCAAATTTGTACAGAGATACAACATGGGAAGATGATGCCATGTTACATGTATATCCCACAGTTAGGTAACTATGACCTCAATTTGACCTTTGACCTGGACCTCAGGTACTGAAATAGAGGTTTCTGGAGCATACATCAACTGTTTCATGAATGGGCTTCAAACTTTGTCCATAGGTACATCATGGGCAGGCAGACATGTCACATCCTTATATGAGATCACAGTGGCCTCTATATGACCTTCTACCTTGACCGCAAGTGCTAAAATAATGGTTTCCGGAGCATATATTAGCCACTGTTACATTTATTATAATAGGCATCATACTTTGTAGGTAGTGTGTCAAACCCTAATATGAAGACACTGTGTCCTCTATGTGACCTTTGACCTTGGCTTCAAGTACTAAAATGCAATATAATGTAGATTTCTGGAGCGTATCTCTGCCATCTTTCATGAATGGACATCAAACTTTGAATATAAGGTACCAGGTACTCCTGGGAAAATGGTATGTCACATAGTTTAGTTAGATCAGAGTGACCTTTTTTTGAACTTTGACATTATGACCTGAAATACTAAAATAATGGTTACGGAACATATCTTGACTACTTTTTCATGAATGAGCTAGCGCTTCAAACTTTGTATATATGTAAGATACATCATAGGAAGGCAGTGTGTCACATCTTAACCTGTGGTCATTATGTCCTCTATTTGACATTTGACCTTGACCTCAATTATTTAAACACAGTGTAATACAGGTTTCCGAAGCATAACTTGACTTCCATTTCATGTATAAACTTAAGATTTTACATTAGTGTACTATATATATAATCAAGGAATATGTTGGTTAGTAAAATCAGTTCTATTCAACGTCAAGTTTAAAATACAGCGCAGGCGTAGGTATCTGTAAAGCTTATTGGCTACCATTTTATGTAAACGCACGCAGACCTGAAATGATGGTCACAGTGTGGTAAATGAAAAATCATAGTGGAAAAAAAGGTTCATGAGGTCAACTTCCAACTATTTGACCTAGACCTCAAGTACCCAACACTGTTTATATAGGAACAGGTATGTGGGAAGCAGGGGTATCCGTGAAGTCCACACTTCAAGTTTAGTCTACTTAGTCTTAATTTTGAATTCTTTTATAAGATAACACATATATAAATATATTTTTGTTGTGGCTCAAAGTGTTGTTTTTTTTTTCTAAAAGTGAAGAGATTAAAATTTTGCAAACTGGAGAATGAAAGAGTCTACCGGCCATAAAACATACAACCTATTTCAAACAGTCACACATGCTAAATTACCAGATCATTTAAGATGTATAAGCCCCATGAATTGAACAAAATATCAGATCCCTGTGAAAATAACCTACCATACATTATCCTTCAAAGTCCTGAACAGATTTGTTTTAAATTATTTTTTGTCTTGATGAATTGATGGTTCTTCTTTACTGAAAAGACATAATAAAAGTATATTTATTGATATTGGTCTTAAAAATGTACAAGTGGATAAACAGCGGTTGCCTGAACATCAATAAGGAATATCAAAATATTCTTAAAAACCAAACTTTTGACTATTGTTGGGGAAACCTACTATATATTAAACAGTGTGTCTTTTTAAAGCTCCTACTTTATATCTTCAGTGCAGTTGAGTTGAATAATAAGTGGATTTGAAACCATTCACTTGGATGATATAGTACAGGTTAGATTTTGTGACCATAGGGTTGCTTACTGATATTCTCCATATGGGGGATTTACATCGATGTTATATCTATATAATAAACTAATTATAGTATATCAATTCTATCTTCTTGTAATATGATGTATATGTACATGTAACTGTTCTGTTTCACTGTGTCTTGAAAAAGGAGCGGATCGCTCCGAAAATTTGACAACCTAAACTTGTCCACACTGTTGGAATTACTTCTTTGCCCCATATATAATTAACTAACATAGATTTTCAAGCACACTCACATAATTGTTGTCCTGTTATATTTAAATCTTATTCTTTTGTTGATACGAGACGCTAGAAATAAAAAGGCTTGAATGCACCTGTTAAATGTATGTATACCTTGATATATATCTTTAGTAGGTAACACATGTTGTTTGTCTATAAACGACTATTGTTGGGTGACACATTTGATAAAACCCTCATTGAGATATACAATGTACATGTATATATCTGGTGGTATAAACCTTGTGTATCCTACAGTATGTACATACAGGGGTGACATACGTTATTCATAAATGCATTCTTTATGAAATTACTACAGCACGTATCTCTTCCATGTAAATTATCTATGAAATAAAGTTGTTTTTTTCCCATTCTGTATAGTGCCAAAACAGTTGTAAATAATCCTACTGCTCTATCAGTGCTGTTGTACTAACTCATCTGCTAACGATTAAATAAAAAAAAAATATATATATATCTTTTCAGATCTATCTGCACCTGCGATACTACACCTGTCCTAACGAGCAGCGATGGATTGTGAGGATCCTGTTTATTGTCCCAATCTACTCCTTCGATTCCTTCCTGAGTCTCATGTTTTTCAACAATGACAATTACTATGTGTACTTTGACAGTATTCGTGATTGTTACGAAGGTGCGTTGACAAAAAAGTGGAAAAGCTCCAACATTCCACAGAACAAAATTGAAAGAAAGCCCTTGAGTATGGTGTGTTTTAAGATAATCGAATGTATTGATTTTAGAAGCAGACTTGTTTGATCATCGTCCTCTTTAGTGATTTGTGCGGCGTCTTTCCTCATACATATAAATGCTCCATTACTTCCAGGGCAGAAATTGAAGGAATTAGTCAGTCTGGTGTTTGGAATTTACGTTTGTTGCAACAGTTAAACATTTGATATGCACGTAAGGTCCACAACTTCTAGAAAAAGTATACTGTATGCAATAAATTGGATCTCTATATAGATGTACATGTATCAATTTAACAGAGTTAACTTTTACCACATGCCTCTGCTAGGAATCACACCTGGGATTATAGATTACATGTACTAACAAGTTTTTCTAGCCAAGTAACTTCAAAAGAAAGAAAGTCTGTATGATTGTCATAACTTGCAATTTTGGTGAGGAATGAACTTAAATTCATGACTGTTGTTAATGATACTCTGGTTGATGTGTAGAAGTACTGCACAAATAATTCAGTTGTGTTAGCTTTTGTTCTAATATAAAACCAGGGCGAGAATTAAGAAACAATATCAAACTTCCACAAATTTCCATTATTCTATTTCTTTTCAATATGTACGGTAATTGAAGTTTAAAATTATGCAAAATCAAAAACTTCTACGAAATCAAAAACTTCTACAGGTTGAATTTTCCTAGGAGTATAATGTGATATAAATGATCGGTTTTTGAAAATTTGCATGTCATACAGAAATTTGGTGCTGTGATTGCCGTTTTAAATGCTTTTCTGATAACAGATTCCATCTCATTTGCAGCATTTGTGATCTACAGTTTCCTGAGTCTGTGTTATGAATACCTCGGTGGTGAGAGCTCAATTATGTCGGAAATCAGGGGAAAACCAATCAAGTGAGTTGGATGCCAGCCGTTACAGAGATAACACGGCTCTATTTGCATGTCAGGATCAATAGTTGTAACACAATCCTGACGATGTTTTGATTGAGTTGGAGAGTTTTTGTTATTTGTTGAAATTAAGGGCAAATGTTATATTGGTAAAAAAAGGTCATGTTATAAATACGACCTACAAATAAAGACTCTCTAAGATATAGTCTACTGGTTATCTTAACATTGACAGTATTTTCTTGTAACCGTTACTGTGTGCCTGTCTGTATAAACAATGTAAAAATACCTTTACTGTATGCCTATCTGTATAATTGGGTACTCTATGTATACTGTACATATACTGTTAATGAGTGTGTATGAGATTTGCCAGAACCATTAGTGCACCTGTACCTATAGATGAACTTTGCCCTACAGATCCAGCTGGATATGGTGTACATGTTGCCTGTCTGGGAGGCAGTATACAATCGGCTTCCTCAGGTTCTGTAAACAGGTATGTTATTTAACGACTAAGGTTCTGTTGGTTGTTATTTATATGAAACACTGAAAAATACTCTTTTGTAATTTGTACATAATCAAAATGGACCAGGAAATCAGTGAAGTGGTTAAGCAAAATGGTGCCCACGAATGTATTTTTTTTTTTTTGGCAAATACATTTATGTACTATGATAACAGGCATTCAGTGTATCTGAAAACTAAAATGGAAAAAGCAAATTTAATTGAAATATCTGTTTTCATATCTCTTTTTTTTTTGAAAAATTTCCAATGATATGGTAATGTTTTTTTGTCCTAAAAAGCGTAGTCAAGGGGAACAACTCTAACTTACTACTTGCTAGGTGGCATATACGCCACCTAGCGTCAGTTCTTTGCTTGACGGTTTTATAAATCCATTTTAGGTTATTTGTAAATATGCATCCAATTGGTTGTTATTATGTATTGATATGTATGTGCAGCTCAAGTAGAGGGCATAGGCCTATTCTATTAGGCCTATATTGTGGGAGCAATAGTTCATAAATAAAATGTTTTACATTTTATTTATTTGTTGTTCCCCTAATTGACGTACGTTTAGGTAAACAACACACACAAAACCCCAAACCAATCCTTCATGTAACCATTACCCAATTTCTGTCCCAATTTCAAAAAATATTATCTAAAAAGATTAGATTTTTGATAACTCTGCCAGGTTGACATCGGAAAATATCATAATCATCATTAACCTACATTTGTTTTACAAACAAGGACAAAATCTATGTATGGAAGAGCAGTTAATAGATTGTGTGGGACTATAATGAAATCCAATGACAGTTAGCAAGCATCATTGTTGGTAACAAAGTGTAGAGCAGGTCATCCATATTAATAAAACAAAATTGTAGATTCCTTACTTCCCAGCTGAAATGATTTCATTTAATGTAGCTGTACTGGAGACACTGTCGAATGTGATCACACAGACTGCTCTCAATGAAAAAGTTATACTGCTACACTTCAGTGTCTCATCTGTCAGGGATAATGTGTGTGAGCACACAGACTGCTCTCACTGATAAAGGTATACTGGAGACTCTGTAGTGTCTCATCTGTCATGGATAATCAGACTGCCCTCACTGATAGAGTTATACTGAAGACTCTGTAGTGTCTCATCTGGCAGGGATAATGTGTATGATCACACAGACTGCTCTCACTGATAGTTATACTGAAGACACTACGGTGTCTCATCTGTCAGGGATAATCAGACTGCTCTCACTGATAGTTATACTAAAGACACTACAGTGTCTCATCTGTCAGGGATAATCAGACTGCCCTCACTGATAGAGTTATACTGAAGACTCTGTAGTGTCTCATCTGGCAGGGATAATGTGTATGATCACACAGACTGCTCTCACTGATAGTTATACTGAAGACACTACGGTGTCTCATCTGTTAGGGATAATCAGACTGCTCTCACNCCTACATTGTCTCATCTGTCAGGGATAATCAGACTGCTCTCACTGATAGTTATACTGAATACACTACAGTGTCTCATCTGTCAGGGATAATCAGACTGCCCTCACTGATAGAGTTATACTGAAGACTCTGTAGTGTCTCCTCTGTCATGGATAATCAGACTGCTCTCATTGATAGTTATACTGAAGACACTACAGTGTCTCACCTGTCAGGGATAATCATACTGCTCTCATTGATAGAGTTATACTGACGACACTATTGTCCCCCCTCTGTCAGGGATAATCAAACTGCTCTCACTGAAAGTTATACTGAAGACCCTACAGTGTCTCATCTGTCAGGGATAATCAGACTGCTCTCATTGATAGAGTTATACTGAAGACACTATGGTGTCTCATCTGTCAGGGATAATCAAACTGCTCTCACTGATAGTTATACTGAAGACACTACAGTGTCTCATCTGTCAGGGATAATCAGACTGCTCTCATTGATAGAGGTATACTGAAGACACTACAGTGTCTCATCTGTCAGGGATAATCAGACTGCTCTCATTGATAGAGTTATACTGAAGACACTACAGTGTCTCATCTGTCAGAGATAATCAGACTGCTCTCATTGATAGAGTTATACTGAAGACACTACAGTGTCTTATATGTCAGGGATGTTATACTGAAGACACTACAGTGTCTCAACTGTCAGGGATAATCAGACTGCTCTCATTGATAGAGGTATACTGAAGACACTATGGTGTCTCATCTGTCAGGGATAACCAGACTGCTCTCATTGATAGAGTTATACTGAAGACACTGCAGTGTCTCATCTGTCAGGGATAATCAGACTGCTCTCATTGATAGAGGTATACTGAAGACACTATGGTGTCTCATCTGTCAGGGATAATCAGACTGCTCTCATTGATAGAGTTATACTGAAGACACTACAGTGTCTTATATGTCAGGGATGTTATACTGAAGACACTACAGTGTCTCATCTGTCAGGGATAATCAGACTGCTCTCATTGATAGAGTTATACTTAAGACACTACAGTGTCTCATCTGTCAGGGATGTTATACTGGAGACAATTCAGTATCTCATCTGTCTGGGATAATGTGTATAATCACATAGACTGCTTTCATTTAAAACTGAAGTACCCCAGCCATCATCAGTTTTTTATAGTATCTTGTAATCGTTGGTTTAACCAAAACTTTATAGTCATTAACCTGTAGAGTTTTATTTAATTAAAAATTGAGTTTAAAAACTTGTGTTTTCTGTTTTCCAGGCCACTCTTCAGTTCTGTATCGTGAAACCTGTGATGGCAGTGATCACCCTGGTACTTCAGGCCTTCAGCTTGTACAAAGACGGCAATTTCTCGTAAGTCTTTTAGGTCCCTAATGAACAACAGACCTGTATTTTCTCTAGGTCCTATAATCATGTATAGTTACGTTTGTATGCCCGGCCATTTTATTGAGGGGTATGTAGTGCTTCACATGTTTGTCCCGTCCTGTCCTGTTCCATCACTTCCTGATGACCTGATTCAGTGTCATTTCTCTAGGGACCTCATTTCCAAACAGATTTTTATCAAATTGTATATAAAGGTAAATACCTTTAAATAATTCATATTTCAGGTTTTCAAAGGTCAAGATCACTTACTATTGATAGAACATTTTCAACCAATTCAGTGATGTCACTCTATTTCAACCAATTCAGTGATGTCACTCTAGCAATTTATTGTTTTTTGCAGATTTGATCAAGCTTTATACATAACTCATATATAAGAATATCTTTATGATAATAATCGTACAACAGTCACAGTAGTTTTCTAGGTAAAATGAACAACAGTATCATTTCTCTAGATTCAGTAAACAGCATTTCTATGTTAAGTGAACAACCATGTTTCAGTATTGTAATGAAACATATTTCTGGGTTGAGCAAACAACAGTAAATGACAGTTTCTCCTGTTTTTATGAACATCGTAGATAGCTGCTACATGACTAAACATTGTGTTGTGTTATGGAAAATCAAATGTAAACTATGCTATAGTCTATCATGTTTAAATGTATCATGTTTTGCACCATTTCAGACCCAGCTCTGGATATCTGTACATCATGCTTATCTACAACCTGTCCATCAGTTTTGCTTTGTACGCCCTTTTCCTATTCTACTTCGCCACCAGAGAATTGCTGAGCCCATACGACCCCCTGTGGAAATTCTTTACCGTCAAGTCTGTTATCTTCTTGTCATTTTGGCAGGGTGAGTATATCATTGGAGTCTAATATTAGAAGTTATTTCACCTTTATTTGAAAGGAATTACATAATCTTGTAAGTAAAGGCATCATCTAGAGAACATTGCTTCTTAGAAGATGCAAGATTAAACAATAATTATCAAGAATCGGTTTGGTTAAGTAATCTTGATTATTTTTAAGATTAACTCAGTTAACTTGGTAGTCTTTGGATGCAGTTTTGTCTAAATGTCAAATTTCTTCTTTGTTGTTTCTAAGGAATGTATTGATACAGTAAACATACATGTTTTAGTGTTAGTCTTATTTAAGTGTTTTTCCTGCTTAACTAAATTATGGTAATGTTATTTGATGTTGCTATAATTTTATTGCATATATTGTTGGTGTAGCAATTTGTCAATACACAATCTGTTAACATTTTACAATGCTCTAAAATTTGTGAAAATAGGTATCTTTAGGTATTGTGTTCGCCTTTATTGAAACGTTGATTAATACATTCTTCATTACAGGGGTTGTACTGGCTATTCTTGAGAAAGGAGGTGCAATAAGTCCCATATATTCTGAAGATGGTATAATGAGACAAGGAATGGGTACAGTGTCTGCTGGATATCAAAATTTCTTCATCTGTATCGAGATGGTGTTTGCGGCTTTAGCCCTAAGGTTTGCATTCCCACACTCTATTTATAGTTCCAGCCCCAGCTCTACTGCTGGTCGCACAGTGTCGCTACAAAGCATCTCCAGCAGCCTGAAGGAAACCATGAACCCACGTGACATCATGCAGGATGCCATTCACAATTTCCACCCCCAGTACCAGCAGTATACACAGCAAGGAATGAAGATCCCCCAAGAGGAGGAGGCTGCAGACGGCTGGCCATACGACCAGTACCAAAACCGGCCTGTACAAAATGGCAACGGCCCCTCCTCTGTGGCGGCGAATACACTCAACACAAACCCATCAACCCGCAGTCAACCTCGGCCACCAATCGCAAGCCAGCCAGCAAATAATGGGTCCACTATTACGCCTCACAGAAGGTTCAATGAGAAGACAACTCTTTTAAGTTCTGATGATGAATTCCAGTGATGAGACCTTATAGACAACTGCTATTCAGATGATGAGAACACTTGACACCATTAGTAGAGTGTATTCCACTGTGTGTAGTGCTGGAACAGTTGTTGAGTAAGATTGGGTATAACTCCACGCCTTGTAGCTGATGCTGTAGAGTTACCCTGGCACATCACAGGTCATTATTTAATTGGACAAGGTAATAAGTTGGACTGTTCTAATTTGATTAATTAAGGAAGCAAGGATACCATTGTCTCGACTACCTTGGGGTGTAGTTATAGAATCTTCCACTTCCTTTGGGGCAAGATAGTCAAATATCCACCTGATGCTTAACATTCTTAAATTTTCAAACCTATTAATTGCCAGAGGTGTAATATAATGTAAGGATCTTACCCAGAGGGTTAAAATTTGCCCATTTTGCCACTTAACAAGGCATATGATTCTTTTTCTCATTACAATGGATTTGATTTAGTGTTTGAGATTCAGTATAAAAATGAAGATCTATAACTTAAGGTACCATATATACATATTATGTATGTAGATAAAAGTTTAACTGACTATACCTCCTCCTAGACTAACTGATAACCTTAGTTTTGAATCAGAGACAACTCTACATTTTAACAAAGAGATTGAAGATGATACTGAAGTAGACTATCTTACTGAGGATTTGAACATAAGTCTGAGACGAGAACCAGTGTACAGGAGGGGAGATGTAGACATGTCTTTGTTGTTTTGACATGAGTAGATTGGTTACGGCTGGGAGTAAGAGATTCTTTACTGTATTTTCATTCCTTTGTATTCTGTCCTTGAATCTAAAAGCTAATATTTAGATGTGCACTGGGTTTTTATATAAAAAAAGGGTTACACAAAACTTAAAACACATTTAGATGTTTCATTTGTTATTTTTATTTTAGGATTCGCGGGCATCTTTATGAAATAGGGTTGGAGTTAGATTGTTTATACAATCTGCCATGACTATCCAGTTTAATTTATTGACGGGTACTTATCATCATGCTAGCTGGACCTAGGAGGCTAAATTCTCTCATGACAACTATGATGTTTGGGTGATGTGATGGGATTGACGATGTTCATTAAATACATACATTGCAAATAAACTATCATGTATGTTTGTTTGAAATATGATGAGTCACTACACAGTTGCATTACATAAAAAGTAAGAGTATTATTTGGAAACCTGGCAGTGTTGTCCATACAATACTGGAATACAATTCTATTGCATGTAGGTAGATCTGATATTGAAATTCTACCCAAGAGTGTAGTGTGGGACTCTTGTCTAGGTTCAAAGGGGTCCTCTCCGTTCATATACAGTACTGTAGTGTATAGATTATTAGGTTCAATAAATATCTGTCGTTTAGAAAGAAAAGAAATAGAGAATGCACTTAGTTCAAGTAATACATGCTTGAGAAATCTCATTGACTACCCTCTAATTGTGTATAATATTGGTGTAAATGCCCTAAATCTGTATCTCGTTTGATGTTGAAGCAGTGCTATTATTAAGTAGGTTATATATCAGAATCTCTACTTTCCTTTCATTCATCAGTAACTTAGCTTTAAAATGTGTTTTTTCTATTCAGTTTGTGAGAAAGAACACTGTTGTCCAATAATTTGAAATACTATTTCAAAATGTTGCCCCAAGTAGTCTTGGTTTGTTTCAGAACCTGTTTAACTGCTCTGAGAATATATATTTCGGTAAACAAACTGTATTGTGAGTTTTATACAATTTTGAAATTTATATACACCTTAGATAATTCTTGAATCAGGTCAAACTTAATGAATAGATAAACATGTACTAACGTGAGAACAAGACAATTGATTTTGATTGTGGAGAGCAAAATATGTGGGATAAAATTTTAAAAACAACAAAAACAAAACTTACTGTTGTTTGTTGATGCTAATTAATTAATCAATGAAAATGTGTGTGTTGTGAGACATTTTGTTGTGGATATGTTGGCTGCATTTCCCACATTGACACTGACAGTCAATATTTTCTACATTAATTTGTGAGAAAGAATACTGTCTTGAAATTTTTAGAAGTTCCATTTTTAAATATAGTCCTAAATATATCAAGGTTGATTTGCCAACCTTTTTTAACTGCTCTAAACAAAGATATATTTACAGTATACAAACTGTATTGTGAGCTTCATACACCTCTAATATTGACACCTTTGATAATTTGATTAATTAGGCAAATATGATATACATGTACTAACAGTATAAGACAGGTGATCGTTTGTCACGGAGAGCAAACTGTAAACTGGGGAATTTTCGATGCAGTGTTATTTTTGTGTTTTTCACAGAAAGATTCAACTGCAAATTCAAGAATGTAGCGAAATATTTGCAGCTCTAGACAATATTGTAAGATCTGGTCCGAGACGTGCCTATATTCCTGACCAATTGGCTGTCGGTGTAGACATGTCATATGAGGGTCATGTGGTAGCACAAGTAATGTAAAAGTAACAGACACTGACCAACCTGTTCTCCACGAATATTAATTTCCTAATGAAAGTACAAAGATAACTCTGCACGAATTCAAAGCTGTATACAGTTTGTGGTATATAATTAATAAAGAACAAAAGTTTGTGCTAATTATTCAGACATTTTTTGTGTTGTGAGACATTTTGTTGTTGATATATAGGCTGCATTTCTCACTATGACCGTCAATATGGCGGTCATTGTGGTCTCTTGTTCTGCGCCCCGACTACATGTGTACAATATATTTTATTTCAAGATGAGTGAATGCTGGTTGTGATCTTCAAGAGGGTATGTTGGCTTTGTTATAATTGAGAGTGGAACAAATTTGAGCTTTAATGACACGAGAGTTTAGTTCTCCTTGCTTTAAAATGTATGTCAAGTGATTGTTTTGTGATATATTTGGCCTCTGTCATCCACTGAACAACCCCCATGTCCGACTACATTGTATGTACATTTTAAATAAAACTCTTTTTCATGTACACAGGTATTTATCATGCAAATCACAATTTTTATGATGATTTATTTTGGTTTTATATGAGCTTTTGTGAATTGAGGACCAATTACCACGAAAAATGTTTCACAAAAAAGACTTGTTTATGATTGATTTTTCTAAGTATCGGATCAATTTCAATGATTTGATCATTAAGGGTGTGACTTTTATTGATATCATACAGTGCTGCTAAGATCAGATGTAATGTTAAATGAAACATGAAAATTGTGAAGATTTTATAATTACATAAATGTGCTTTTTTAATTACCCATCTTTGATTTCACTAAAACATTATCTCAAGATTCACTTTACATTAATTTAATGCATGTACTCAACTTATGCTACATAATCAATTCAATAATTGAGAATAATGGTTATATTTTGAAAAAGATCAGTATATTATTTGTTCTTGTAAAAGAAGTAATAATTTTGTTATTCAGAATTATTACCAGTTCTGTAAATTTATCAATGTATTGAAATTGAAATGTTAAAGATGAAAGTACACTTTTAGATGGCAAGAGGATTGGGTCTGTTTAAAGTGTGTGAATGTGTGAGGTATAGACAATGTATAATGTTTGGATGGATGTGCGATTCCCTGTACCCAGTGAGGTATAGACAATGTATTATGTTTGCATGGATGTGTGATACACTGTACCCAGTGGGGTATAGACAATGTATAATGGTTGGATGGATGTGTGATACACTGTACCCATAGGGGTATAGACAATGTATATATAATGTGTATGTGTGTATCTAAGACTTCTATCACTCACAAAAGTCATCTAAACAATCACATTTATGTTGATAATGTAAATATAAATCATTTGTTGTACATATCATTTATTTAAAAAAGAAACACACTTGTCAAGGTAATACCAGCATGTAAAATGGATGTGCGATTCACTGTACCCAGTGGGGAATAGACAATGTATAATGTTTGGATGGATGTGCTATTCACTGTACCCAGTGGGGTATAGACAATGTATAATTTTTGGATGGATGTGCGATTCACTGTACCCAGTGAGTTATATTCAATTTATAATGTTTGGATGGACGTGCGATTCACTGTACCCAGTGGGGTATAGCCAATGTATAATGTCTGGATGGATGTGCGATTCCCTGTACCCAGTGGGGTATAGACAATGTATAATTTTTGGATGGATGTGCGATTCACTGTACCCATAGGGGTATAGACAATGTATATATAATGTGTATGTGTGTATCTAAGACTTATATCACTCCCAAAAGTCATCTAAACAATCACATTTATGTTGATAATGTAAATATAAATCATTTGTTGTACATATCATTTATTTAAAAAAGAAACACACTTGTCAAGGTAATACCAGCATGTAAAATGGATGTGCGATTCACTGTACCCAGTGGGGTATAGCCAATGTATAATGTCTGGATGGATGTGCGATTCATTGTACCCAGTGAGGTATAGACAATGTATAAGGTCTGGATGGATGTGCGATTCACTGTACCCAGTGGGGAATAGACAATGTATAATGTTTGGATGGATGAGCGATTCACTGTATCCAGTGAGGTATAGACAATGTATAATGTCTGGATGGATGTGTGATACACTGTACCCAGCGGGGGATAGACAATGTATAATGTTTGGATGGATGTGCAATTCACTGTACCCAGTGAGGGATAGACAATGTATAATGTTTGGATGGATGGGCGATTCACTGTACCCAGTGGGGTATAGACAATGTATAATGTTTGGATTGATGTGCGATTCACTGTACCCAGTGGGGTATAGCCAATGTATAATGTCTGGATGGATGTGCGATTCCCTGTACCCAGTGAGGTATAGACAATGTATAATGATTGGATGGATGTGTGATACACTGTACCCATAGGGGTATAGACATTGTATATATAATGTGTATGTGTGTATCTAAGACTTCTATCACTCACAAAAGTCATCTAAACAATCACATTTATGTTGATAATGTAAATATAAATCATTTGTTGTACATATCATTTATTTAAAAAAGAAACACACTTGTCAAGGTAATACCAGCATGTAAAATGGATGTGCGATTCACTGTACCCAGTGGGGAATAGACAATGTATAATGTTTGGATGGATGTGTGATACACTGTACCCATAGGGGTATAGACAATGTATATATAATGTGTATGTGTGTATCTAAGACTTATATCACTCACAAAAGTCATCTAAACAATCACATTTATGTTGATAATGTAAATATAAATCATTTGTTGTACATATCATTTATTTAAAAAAGAAACACACTTGTCAAGGTAATACCAGCATGTAAACCCAGTGTAATCGGTTACTAGTTACTGCTTTGCTTATCTTCTGTTGGAAAGGTTTTTGGGAATATATTAAGTCTAACTGCCAAAACATTTGTTCATGATTTCAGTGTGCAATATGTTAATACAGAAGGGCATATGGTATATGTTTACGTTATATAGCTCTATCTGTACTAGCATCTCACAAGTTAGTAATGGGTCATGCGAGTTTTTAAACTGTCATCACACAATAAGACAAATTTTGGAGATTACTTGTTTTTACAAGTACATGCAAATTTAATAGAAATCAGCTGTTCTTTTAAAATTTGGTTCATAAGAAATCATAATCAAAAGTGGTTTTAAAGTGTTCCTACCAACAGAAAAGTTTCAATGTTCTACTTAATTTTGTTACCAGTCACATATCATGTATTTAATTAGGTATATGGGTTATAAACAAAATTAGTCTCATATCATGGGTTAAGCTAACAAGTTTATGTTAAAAGTATTGTCATTTAACCATTTGTAGTTTTAAACATATTTTATTGCCATAAGGATACATACAGCAAAGGAATTGGGCACAAGCTACATTACATTATGGAAGCCCTTTCCCAGTCGATATCACATGCTCTGTTAGTTTGTTTGAGAAAACGCACGCACGAGTTGAATTGTCGCGGAGTATAAGCAGGTTCTCTGTAGAGCTAATTGAGATGGTTTGCTAAATAGAACATTTTATTGTAGCTATAGAAATATTTTTGATATTGTTATATTGTCTGTTGTAGATGTGTGATAATGTAATTCTACTAGTATGTGCATATACGCAACTGTCTTTGTGTGGAAATTTGTTTGTAGTATTAAATATGTATAAGATGGATTATATTTTGTACATATTTGCTCTAATCAGTCCTGATTTCACACATGTGGGGTAAAACTTGACAATGAAGAAAACTGTAAATATTGGAAACTCTTTCTCTGTTGATTCCTCTTTGGAATCAGATGATCTGAAGAAAATGTCTCCTGGGTAATTCAGTGGGAATTTTAGAAAATGTTTCTTTAAGTTATACATTCATATGAAAATAGTTTATCAGATGAAATTGTTTTTGTTAATTATCTGTCAGAAAGAAGAAAAATGGATTACCTGGTACATTTGAATTCAATACAAAATAGTATCAACTTAATTTGTCATTTTGGTTTTCCTGACTTATTTTCTCTCCAGTAGGAAACTTCCTGATATACAGGTACCTGTGTTCCTGTTAACACTGCCATGATGTATCCAGTTATACAGGTCCATTTACACCTTGTTTATGTAATAGGACAGTAAGTACATTACTGCTATTATGTGGGGCCATCTATGATCAAATTCAGGTTTATTCAAATATGGTTATTTCTTTGTTCAAAATGTGTGATTTCACATTCCAGATGTAGGAATGAAAGGTATCTTACATTTACCAAACTTCTACCATGTTTCTTACATTGACATATTTACAGCATGATGGTAACATCGTAAAGGTTAGGGGCAGTCACTTTGGAATCAGTATTTCATGTTACATATTTGTGTGAAAATTGTATTAATAGTTTATAAGATGAAACAGCTTCTTTTTTCAAAGTCTGCCTTTTCACCATCAGCATTGTGAGAATTGTTGTACATGTATTTTAACGGAAAGTTGTCATTTATGGATATGTATTGGCGACGGTTTATACTTCTATAACACTGCTGTTCATTAATAATTCTAGTCCTATTTTCCCCCCCGTCATCTAATTTCATTTTTAACCTTCATTGTGCTTCATGTTGTGATAATTCTGTTCAGTTATAATCATAACACACCCGTATTTCATCGTCATTTCCAATAGCTGTAAGAACACATTATTTTGCTGATATTTGGGGATAGTTGACAGATTTTTTAATACCATTGATAATTTTATTTAGTTCATGTTTGAGAATTTTTCAACAGACTGGTTTCCCCGACTGTATTGTTATGATTTACTAGTTATTTCATTGGCTCCCTTGAAAAAAAAAAATGTTAGTGATGTTATCAAGTCATGGCTTAAAAAGTACATAAATTTACACATTGTTTTACAGTCACAAAATGATGTAAACATACATGCATTGTTGCACAGGTATAATGTTTGTGAGGTCAGAAAACAGTACAATGGCATTGTCTCGGATGTACTCGACACTTGATCGTGTGATTGTCATTATCTTTGTGCCAATGTTGTATTGAATGCACTAGTATATGTAATCATTAAATATTAAATGACTATTGTACAGTTAATAATTTGTTAATTATTTTTTGAACATCAATGATCTGGACTGAATTTATGTTGGTCTTTGATACCTGGTATCCTTAGCTAGATTTCTGCTTTATAATCAGTTGCACTATTTGTGGTAAAATCTGCAGAAATCAAATTGATTGATTTTCTTACACAGCGAAGTCATTATAAAACGAACCAATTCATTCAAAGACTGTACCAGCTATGGTGTGTTTGTAGGAACATGTAACTATGTCAAGAAAGTATTAACCCATCAAAAATACGGACATAATTGAGTAAGTGCCTACAACCTCATTAAATGTACACACTAAGACTCCATCCTTCTCCAAACTTGGTGTGAACATTGGAATTTTACAACCATACAAATAAGTTATTGGAAATTCATACATGCAACAGATGTCAGAAATTTAAGGAGTTAACCATAACCCAAATTGAATAAACACAAATTCTGCTTATCTTCAAACTCGAACTCAGCATTGCCATCATACAAGGACATAGGAAGTTCAAATACATCCATTAATATTGATTTCTCAAGTTAATGTTTGGAATATGTCTACTCTGCCAATCACTGTACTCCCAGTAAATGCCTGCTGGTACACAGACCTAGTCATCTTTAAAACCTTGTCTGGGCATTGACACCATAAAAGCCAACATCCAAATCCATACTTAGAAGATTACCTATACTTATGTTCTGCCCTAGATTTGAGCTCGAATTGCAATTTTGTTCACACTCTGGTATTACATGTATCTTTTGTTTTGTAAAATACTTATGTACATATCACACCCAGTTAAAATTCATGCTCAAGGAATTTCTCATGGTGTCAATCGTGTTCCATACAAACATACACCAGATCTAGTTAATCCATGCCCTACCCTGTATACAGTTTGGATTTCAGTTATTTGTATGGTGATGTGTAGGAAAATACAAAATCATGCATTGTTGCAGTTGACTAGAACAGTTACCATGTTAAATCCACGCATTCACTCAAACACAAAAATTACCCAGGTTATGTATTACTAGGTAGTTATGACTGCTTTGATTTAAGGTGAAGCTCAAAAATTTGACCTGTTTGAAGGGCTGATGTTATTTATGGGTCTACCATTCTAAATTTGATATACAAGTTATTGATTGGTACGTCTTCAGTATTCCTCATAAACCGTGGTCTTCGTGTGATGTTAGAAGGTCCTAGAAGAATGCTGTCCTGAAAACCTGGATCTAGTGATTGTTTTGCACAAATGGTCACTAACCTTGACCTATGACCTCAAATAACAAGATTCCTCCCCATTTCATGGGTAATCATCATGGGAAATTAGGTCTTAGTTAAAGGCTAGAGTCTTAGAAATGATATTTAATTCACCGGAGTCTAGAAATGACCTTGGTGTCTCATGTGGTCTCGTGACCATACATGGGTCCATCTGGTAATATACATGTATCAGTCATTGTTAGCTAGGCTGGTTGCAAAACAAACTTTATTTTCTGTGTAGACCATGTATTGGCTACATCTATAATAATCTAAGCATGTAAAAACCATCTATCCCCATAAAAGATTGAACCTTCATACATTGGGCCTTGTGGCAGGGAACCTGGACAAGTACCATGATAAGTTTCCAAAATTGAAGAATTGCTGAAACACAAACAAGAGGCCCAATGGGCCTGCATCGCTCACCTGGTATTAATCTCACACTTGTAATCTTAAGTTGTTTGAAGATTTTAAGACATCTGACCCCTGTGACCTTGAATGTGGGTCAAGGTCATTTATTTTAACAAACGTTGTAGCCCTTCATCCCAGCATGCTACAGACCTAATATCAGTACCCTGGGCCTTTCGGTTATTGAGAAGAAGTTGTTTAAAGTAAAAAGTTGACGCCAGACAGACGGACGACGGACGCCGCACCATGGCATAAACTCACTTGCCCTTCGGGCAGGTGAGCTAAAAATGAACACAGGTATTATTTGTACCATACTAATGAAAAATAACAACAAAATACAGGTATTGTTCGTTTACCAATTTAATGTGGTCATGGCAGAATATAGTACCAAGTAATCTCGTGGTGAAATGTATTGAAAAATAGTGTTCTTTTGGTAAAGCTATTGCACAGCTGACATCACATATGTTGTCACTATATATAAACATGATTAGTGTACAATTAGTATATTTAATAGACAACTGATAGCTGAAAACATTAACAAGTCATGTAGTTTCTGTGGAAAATGGAATGGGTGAAAATAAACTGAAAACACATAAATCTAGCTTTACATTGAAATCGTTCATGTTGGTTATATAATACGGTACTATCACAGATAATAAACAACTTCATTGAGAAAGTTTTAGGACATACATTTCTGTTTCGCTTTAAGATGTATGTTTATAGTCTTGTGTAATTAGTTGTTTGCATACTATTTAAATTTGCCATCACTGCGTAGTACAGTTAATAATCTCGTAAGAAGAAATTAACTAAATATAATTAATGTAAGGGCGTGAAAATTAATGTAACAAAGTAGCACCACAAAATCATCTCCATCACAGCACGTGTGTCACAAAATGTGTCGAATCGTAAACATGATCACACAAACCTACACATCTAGGTGTCCAACACCTGGTAAAAGCTGGGTTTAGCTTTATGACGCATCACTAACCCTTTCACCCCTATGTAACTTTAGTAGACATTACCATGCGTTGATATGTATAAGTCCATTTAGGTCTACAGTGGTGAAAGGGCTAAAGCTTCTGCAGTATAACCCCTTATTAAGGGCAGAAACAATGGAACACGGATGTAAACAGTATGTACTGGTAATGGATAGGCAGTGAAAGGCCTGTAAGACCCGATCTGGTGATAAAACACAGGAGGGGGTCAATGAAGCTACCACTCTGAGTGAAGGGAACATCTGTTCTTTATCTATTGAAATATTACTGGCCATAAAATCATTGATACCAAAGTCACGTTTTCATGACACAGTCTGTCAAAATCAAAATCAAGTGAGCTTTTGCCCTTTTACTCTACCCGTGGTTTCCGCTCTAGCTGATCTCACCTAAGGACACCTGCGTTACTTTTTGACAGCATTATTACAAAATCAGTTCTAAATTACAGATCACTTACCAATACAGATTTATGAAGCATTTAAACTTAACTAAATGACCATGATTCCATATCTGGTTAGATCACAAGCTCAAACAGAAAATGGACTTTAAACAAAGGCTTGTCTCTGTGTACTTAAGGACACAACAGCAGGGAGCAGTGTTAGACAGAGGCTGCTGCAGGCGACACTTCACAGACTGAAAACAGTACTTATTTCACCATAATTACCCAGCACAAAGGAAAAATTCTAACCCAAAACATATCCCTCTATGACATATTCATACAAAATACCACATTTTTATCTCATGTCAAAGTGATCAGAATCGTTTGGCAGATTAATACATATATACAATACACAAAATCATGGTTGATTGGCCATGGCACTTTCATGGAATAAATGGGTGACATCCGATAAAGACACCACTTGTTTTGCTTTAATTCCATACTTATAAAAATTATTGTTCTTTATATACATACATGTTCTATATTTCCAGTAAGACACCAACATGTATCACATATCAATGTTCCATAGGCTGCCCTTAAACTTGAAGCAATCAACAGTAAAGGAATAATGACATCATGTTACCATAGCACAGAATAACACATCTGATCCATCCCTTTGAACAGGATACTGGCTGTTTTGTTGCAGTATAATAATATTTGTTACAGCCAAGTCTACACAATCACGGATGGTTTTAAATTTGGTCAAAGTTAATGCACAACCCTTTAATATAAACCCTCTAAGCCTCTCGAAAATAATTCAAACATTCCGGCACATTAACGTAACAAGTATTATCAAATTATAAAACATTCCAATATCTTACAAAAACAAAGAAACTGTGGAGTATATGTGAATTTTAAAAAAAAATGAAAAAAGTGAATAAATAAAATAATGACAACAAAATATTCTCCATTCCTTCCTCATGATTAAAAACAATGATACTGCTAAAACAATGCTGCAATGAAACACAAACTGTGTTTATCTGAATTAAACAAATGACATGTTAAAGTATTTATACAACAAAAGTTACTTTGGTCCGAATCCATCCCAAAAAATACTTAGCAGAGACATATTTGCCTGATAAAATCAAATAGTATACAGCAATGTTTATAATAATATTCATTTTAAAAAGTCTCAGAAGTTGTAACATGTTTCATTTATGCTATTAACATTTTAATACATTTATACCCAAACAGTAACAGCTATAGCTGAATTCCTTATATCATAACATCTATGTACATGAACAAAAACCAATTTTACACACTGTCAGGTAAAGGTAGGGTAACTACATAATAAATACATCATTTTGGCCCCGTACAGCATAGAGTGTAGGTTCTGTCAGATATCAATGCTATGCTTTTAGCGTAAACACTAATTACTTGAAAATAATAAACAAGGACCAGTCATGGAAAAAATACCACTTTCATACGTCAAGTACATTGAATGTAAAGCAATGATTTATCCAGTAGTACCTGTATATACATTCTCGTCTAAGGCAAGATGATACAAGTTATCCCCCTTTCCGTGACAGATTATCAAGAAACTACAGAAGCTGACAAAACCACCCAATGATTGCCTGTTTATACATTATCAGAGCCCAAAGAAACATACTTGTTCCCTTGGCCGTCACTGGAGAAACCAACTAATGTCTTGAATATATATTCCTTTTTAAATACTTTTATATTCTTTGTAAATACATGATCAAATCAAGGATATAAAGACATGTAACTACCATTAGGGGCAATATTACACATTTGCCTGAACATATACCTGGGGATGCTTGGAAAATAAAATAAAATTGAACGTAGATAAAATACTTTCACCACACAACCCAATTATATGTCATTCAACTTTGTTACATAAGTAACATGGTCATTTTAGCATTGTTATGTAAATATTTGTCTTTAATAGTACTGAGCTGACAGCAGAGGATTTTACACAAAGTCCTATGGTCAAAATGAAATCTTTGTACCTGTGTAATAAACCTGAAATATATGTGTGTTACCACTTATACACAATGAAAAGAAAACCTTCCCAAAACTTCTCTTTTAAAAATATTGACCTGGAAGTTTTGTGAAATCTCAACAAAAAAACCTGAAAAAATGGTTTCACAGCATCAATGTGAAACCCCAAATGAACCCACATGTAAAATATCAGCATATTAGCACATATCATTGGCAAGCTTTTACATAAATAACCCCTAACACTTAACATATGTCCCATCCTCTTACTCAAGGTATAGTGTAACCTTCCTGTTGTTACAACAGATGACTTAAAAATTCTAACAGTTCAAACTTCTGTTAACACACAACATTTTCTGATTTCCTTTACCTATCCTTAATCCTTAATGTACATACATGCAGGGCATACAAAAAAAAATAATATATATTCCATTTTCTCCCACTCGAATCACACATAAGCTGTGCACAAGACAAAATTAGCAAGGTTCTGCTATAGTCATGGTCATGTGTACTACATCCCATCGGGACAGATGTGCCTTTATCACCCGATATCAAGTATATTACACTTTACTTATAAATCTCCAAAGGTTATCACAGATATGAATATGTGTGAGATAAGGAAAAGAGGTACCTTTAATTGATAGTATACAGGGGGCGGGCGATCTAAATTATGAGAGTAATTGTTGATGTGGTAAAGTGTGCACCGTATATAGAACTATGAGTTATGAGGACACAAAAAGTGCCCCCCTCCTCCTAGAGTTTTGGAGGGAGGGGGCCCGAAATAATTAAAATAATTGTAACATTATATAGAAGGCCTCATGATAAAAATAACTATATGCATTAAGGGAACAAGTGTTGAACTCGATCAAGACTTCATTGGTCCAGCTGCCCTTGTGAAACCAGGCAACCAAAATTTTAACACAGATGAAAAAGCAATTCCCTTGTAATCAATGGGCTACAATGTTTGGACTGTTTTGTTCACCATACAGATACATCTAAGAATCTTGCTGAATTGATATTCTTCAGTATAGAATCAGCTCAACTATGGTAGGTATAAGGCTTACATAATATATACAGTAATACATGTAACATCTGATTTTTTTCTACACTACGATCACAGTCTTTCTTTATTCTCCTCCTCTTTTGACCTGACTCGGCTTCGTTTGTCATCAAGGTCTACCCGGGTTTAGCTCTGGCTCTTTTGTCATGTCCGCATTGTAACATCATCCTCTTCATCTGTAAATTCTGTGTCAGCAGCACAGGTAGCATCCTGGCTGTTGACCTGAAAAACATAGATCAAAATAATTTAATGCTGAATTATAATATATATCCTTCCTTGATTAGAAGCTGGCATCATAGCTGAATAATTCATAAAAATTCATACTAATTTTACAAGTATAGTATGCATTATGTACACTGTATTCCCAAACTTTAGTACCTAACTAGAGGGATGGAGATGTGAAAATCTTCATTTTCGATATACTTCATATTTAAAATGCATTTACCATATTATTCCTGAGAGTTAAAATTTGCTCTAGTTTTATACTCAGCTTTGTTTCTGAAGAAATCCACTTGCCATGTTGCCTAGCTATCTAACAAACCCAGTAAATCAGAAGGATAAGACTGACTACAGCAGATTTTACCCACTGTTGATCCCAGTCAATCTAATGAGTACTATAACAAACCTTTCGTTGTCATCCGATGGACTGGTAGCCGGCCCGGAATGCCTTACTGGCACTCCACTCTATGAGACAGAAACACCATGTGCCCAGTGTCCCTAGGACAACTAGGATGAGCAGCTGCCAGTGTAACAACAGGTAAGTACTGTAGTAGAACGACACTGCTGCTGCTAACGCCTGTAACAAAAATATTAAAACAGGTGTGACTACTACACTGTTATATATAATACAACTGTTATATTTCGCGCAGGTTTTAATTTCGCTTTATTCAGGCTTTGACTAATATCCGCGAATTCTTAACACCAGCAAAATTATCGAAAATATTAACCTTTTAGCTATATACCTGATATATATTAAGTCCGAACTAGGAGAGCTTTGGACAGGAGATAAAAGATGGTCTTCAAATATCGCAGTTTCTTTTGTAAGTTGATTGCTTTTTTTGCTCTTGTTGGTGTTGTTAATTGACAAACAATTGCCATTAATACCACTGTATACAGTAGCCTTAGTAATGTAGTAATCTAGGCTGATTATGGGTAACATACCTGGACAAACAATTGCCAGTAATACCACTGTATACAGTAGCCTTAGTAATGTAGTAATCTAGGCTGATTATGGATAACATACCTGGACAAACAATTGCCATTAATTCCACTGTATACAGTAGCCTTAGTAATGTAGTAATCTAGGCTGATTATGGGTAACATACCTGGACAAACAATTGCCATTAATTCCACTGTATACAGTAGCCTTAGTAATGTAGTATTGTAGGCTGATTAACATACCTGGACAAACAATTGCCATTAATTCCACTGTATACAGTAGCCTTAGTAATGTAGTATTCTAGGCTGATTAACATACCTGGACAAACAATTGCCATTAATATCACTGTATACAGTAGCCTTAGAAATGTAGTATTCTAGGCTGATTAACATACCTGGACAAACAATTGCCAATAATACCACTGTATACAGTAGCCTTAGTAATATAGTATTCTAGGCTGATTAACATACCTCGACAAACAATTGCCATTAATATCACTGTATACAGTAGCCTTAGTAATGTAGCATTCTAGGCTGATTAACATACCTGAACAAACAATTGCCATTAATACCACTGTATACAGTAGCCTTAGTAATGTAGTATTCTAGACTGATTAACATACCTGGACAAACAATTGCCATTAATACCACTGTATACATATCAGCCTTAGTAATGTAGTATTTTAGGCTGCTTAACATACCTGGACAAACAATTGCCAATAATACCACTGTATACAGTAGCCTTAGTAATGTAGCATTCTAGGCTGATTAACATACCTGAACAAACAATTGCCATTAATACCACTGTATACATGTCAGCCTTAGTAATGTAGTATTTTAGGCTGCTTAACATACCTGGACAAACAATTGCCAATAATACCACTGTATACAGTAGCCTTAGTAATGTAGTATTCTAGGCTGATTAACATACCTGGACAAACTTGAAGAGAGCAAATGCTGGAGAACTGTCCTCTGGAAACATGAACCCCAGGATGGAATAAATCTGAAAACAAGACATCAAAAGCTCTAGTAATAATAATAATAATAATAATTCGAGGTTCTTATACACCGCTTTATTACAACCTAGTTCTTAGGTCGTCTCAAAGCGATTCACAAATTATTATCTGTGGTTATAGGGCCTTTGCAACCAGCCAATACCTTTCTCAACTCCCTGGGGAGCATACAGCTGGAGCTGCCATTTCGGCGCTAACAGCTAGTATTCAACAATTCTAACACTGCCCAACCACATACTCATTTATAGCTGAGTAGACTGGAACAAGGAGAGTAAAGTATCTTGCTCAACGATGCAACACATTGCCGTGCCGTGACTCGAACATGCAACCCTTCAGTCACGAGCCTGGCGTCCTACCACTAGACTACCGTGCCTCCTACATTAACTGGGATATCTTTCTTATCTGTATGAGACATGGATGTAAGCAAGGGACTTATTACCCACTACAGTATTTGTAACATAACAGCGTCATCATAGCACCTGTAGTTTGATTGCAACTGCATGCATGAACAAGGGGATAATTAAAAAGAAATTTCCTACATGTAATAATAATTTAACTACTTCTTTACATGCAATGTATCTGTGATTTTGGAATTGCATTATTCATCACATTTACTACAAGCCCAAAACGAATGAAAGATCAAATCGAGACATTTCTATAATGTTCAAAACCTTGTGTCTAAAGGCAAAGTGTCAACGCTTTCCTTTTATACAACTCCTTTTAACATATTAAATCTGAAAGCCTTACCTGGGTATTAAAACTGCTGTCACCAAATCCAAGTAGGAATGAACACAGAATGGCAACATATTTACTGAAAAACAATTGAAAAGTATCAATTAATGTTCATTTACGTGAATATTCAGATTTTTTAAGCCGAATATCTAGCTTATCAATTTTAAACTGGGATGTAAAATAACGTATAAAACCCTTCAGCACAATCCCTATTCTCTGTATTTGTATGTAGTAGAGATGGGAGTAACTGTACACAGTACAGATATTTACATGCAAATAGGATATTAGTCATGTGAAAATTAATTTATGTGTCCTTTTACTTCCTCTGCTTAACTACACTGTACAGTACCAAAGTACATCACAACACACATTGTGATTCTGATGAAGACAAGGATTTCAAGAAAGCAGAGCACACTGTTAAGGGATTTATGAGAACAAAGGTTTTCTCCAAAATACAATGTAAATCTCGTGTTTTGATTCATTCAAAAGGAATGGTTCCGACATAGATCAGCAAAAGTTAGTTAACTTAATATAGGACCAGTGACTGTGACATCGTCCATGTGGTGGAGTCATAAAAAACAGGAAATATGTCGCTACAGGACCATACTAAGAAAGGGTCTACTTACTTTGATGGATTCAGATAAGTGGCCGCAGATTCCGATGAGGTGGCGTTATTTAACGTTGAATCACTTGGTAAGTTGAGGAAGATGAGGTAAAACCCTATCATGTGTACGATGTATCCTAATATAACTATGGGGTCCCGCCCATACTTATTGGTCCTCTTCCCAAACAGTCCGAACATGGCACCACCTATCAAGTCATGGTAACACACAAGCCGAGAACTTTATTTCAAAGCTACAATAATACTAGTTACATTAAAATTACTCAATTTTTCAATTTATGATCATATATTCATGATTTCATCAAAACCTGGGATCAATTACCGTAATAGTTTTGATACATATCCTTCAAAGAAATATTTTTGCCTGGTATTTTAGAAATTTATTTCATCACTACAATAATACAATTTATATCAAAATTATTCAAGTTTCCTATTAGTGATGATATCTTCACAATTTCAACAATTCCTGAAATAAATTACCATATCAGTTTTCATACATTTTTTTCAATGAAATAATGTTTGCCTGTTCATTTTTTTATGATAAACTGTATTAATGGAAACAACAATTTTTTTCAGCATCATCACCTATTTTCAAAACTTACCCAGTATTTCTCCCACACCAATAAAGATGCCAGATATACCAATGAGTCCCTTGGATTCCTCACCGAAATGTTTATTGTTGGAAATGCAGAAACCGTATACACCACTGAAGAAGGTCAGTTCTACACCTGTGTGATAATATAACATATACACCACTGCAGAGGGTCAGTTCTAAATCTGTGTGATAATATCACATATACACCACTGAGGTAAGTCAGTTCTTCATCTGTGTGATAACATATACACCACTGACGTAAGTCAGTTCTACACCTGTGTGATAGTATATACACCACTGAAGTAAGTCAGTTCTACACCTGTGTGATAGTATATACACCACTGAGGTAAGTCAGTTCTACACCTGTGTGATAGTATATACACCACTGAGGTAAGTCAGTTCTACACCTGTGTGATAGTATATACACCACTGAGGTAAGTCAGTTCTACACCTGTGTGATAGTATATACACCACTGAGGTAAGTCAGTTCTACACCTGTGTGATAGTATATACACCACTGAGGTAAGTCAGTTCTACACCTGTGTGATAGTATATACACCACTGAGGTAAGTCAGTTCTACACCTGTGTGATAGTATATACACCACTGAGGTAAGTCAGTTCTACACCTGTGTGATAGTATATACACCACTGAGGTAAGTCAGTTCTACACCTGTGTGATAGTATATACACCACTGAGGTAAGTCAGTTCTACACCTGTGTGATAGTATATACACCACTGAGGTAAGTCAGTTCTACACCTGTGTGATAGTATATACACCACTGAGGTAAGTCAGTTCTACACCTGTGTGATAGTATATACACCACTGAGGTAAGTCAGTTCTACACCTGTGTGATAGTATATACACCACTGAGGTAAGTCAGTTCTACACCTGTGTGATAGTATATACACCACTGAGGTAAGTCAGTTCTACACCTGTGTGATAGTATATACACCACTGAGGTAAGTCAGTTCTACACCTGTGTGATAGTATATACACCACTGAGGTAAGTCAGTTCTACACCTGTGTGATAGTATATACACCACTGAGGTAAGTCAGTTCTACACCTGTGTGATAGTATATACACCACTGAGGTAAGTCAGTTCTACACCTGTGTGATAGTATATACACCACTGAGGTAAGTCAGTTCTACACCTGTGTGATAGTATATACACCACTGAGGTAAGTCAGTTCTACACCTGTGTGATAGTATATACACCACTGAGGTAAGTCAGTTCTACACCTGTGTGATAGTATATACACCACTGAGGTAAGTCAGTTCTACACCTGTGTGATAGTATATACACCACTGAGGTAAGTCAGTTCTACACCTGTGTGATAGTATATACACCACTGAGGTAAGTCAGTTCTACACCTGTGTGATAGTATATACACCACTGAGGTAAGTCAGTTCTACACCTGTGTGATAGTATATACACCACTGAGGTAAGTCAGTTCTACACCTGTGTGATAGTATATACACCACTGAGGTAAGTCAGTTCTACACCTGTGTGATAGTATATACACCACTGAGGTAAGTCAGTTCTACACCTGTGTGATAGTATATACACCACTGAGGTAAGTCAGTTCTACACCTGTGTGATAGTATATACACCACTGAGGTAAGTCAGTTCTACACCTGTGTGATAGTATATACACCACTGAGGTAAGTCAGTTCTACACCTGTGTGATAGTATATACACCACTGAGGTAAGTCAGTTCTACACCTGTGTGATAGTATATACACCACTGAGGTAAGTCAGTTCTACACCTGTGTGATAGTATATACACCACTGAGGTAAGTCAGTTCTACACCTGTGTGATAGTATATACACCACTGAGGTAAGTCAGTTCTACACCTGTGTGATAGTATATACACCACTGAGGTAAGTCAGTTCTACACCTGTGTGATAGTATATACACCACTGAGGTAAGTCAGTTCTACACCTGTGTGATAGTATATACACCACTGAGGTAAGTCAGTTCTACACCTGTGTGATAGTATATACACCACTGAGGTAAGTCAGTTCTACACCTGTGTGATAGTATATACACCACTGAGGTAAGTCAGTTCTACACCTGTGTGATAGTATATACACCACTGAGGTAAGTCAGTTCTACACCTGTGTGATAGTATATACACCACTGAGGTAAGTCAGTTCTACACCTGTGTGATAGTATATACACCACTGAGGTAAGTCAGTTCTACACCTGTGTGATAGTATATACACCACTGAGGTAAGTCAGTTCTACACCTGTGTGATAGTATATACACCACTGAGGTAAGTCAGTTCTACACCTGTGTGATAGTATATACACCACTGAGGTAAGTCAGTTCTACACCTGTGTGATAGTATATACACCACTGAGGTAAGTCAGTTCTACACCTGTGTGATAGTATATACACCACTGAGGTAAGTCAGTTCTACACCTGTGTGATAGTATATACACCACTGAGGTAAGTCAGTTCTACACCTGTGTGATAGTATATACACCACTGAGGTAAGTCAGTTCTACACCTGTGTGATAGTATATACACCACTGAGGTAAGTCAGTTCTACACCTGTGTGATAGTATATACACCACTGAGGTAAGTCAGTTCTACACCTGTGTGATAGTATATACACCACTGAGGTAAGTCAGTTCTACACCTGTGTGATAGTATATACACCACTGAGGTAAGTCAGTTCTACACCTGTGTGATAGTATATACACCACTGAGGTAAGTCAGTTCTACACCTGTGTGATAGTATATACACCACTGAGGTAAGTCAGTTCTACACCTGTGTGATAGTATATACACCACTGAGGTAAGTCAGTTCTACACCTGTGTGATAGTATATACACCACTGAGGTAAGTCAGTTCTACACCTGTGTGATAGTATATACACCACTGAGGTAAGTCAGTTCTACACCTGTGTGATAGTATATACACCACTGAGGTAAGTCAGTTCTACACCTGTGTGATAGTATATACACCACTGAGGTAAGTCAGTTCTACACCTGTGTGATAGTATATACACCACTGAGGTAAGTCAGTTCTACACCTGTGTGATAGTATATACACCACTGAGGTAAGTCAGTTCTACACCTGTGTGATAGTATATACACCACTGAGGTAAGTCAGTTCTACACCTGTGTGATAGTATATACACCACTGAGGTAAGTCAGTTCTACACCTGTGTGATAGTATATACACCACTGAGGTAAGTCAGTTCTACACCTGTGTGATAGTATATACACCACTGAGGTAAGTCAGTTCTACACCTGTGTGATAGTATATACACCACTGAGGTAAGTCAGTTCTACACCTGTGTGATAGTATATACACCACTGAGGTAAGTCAGTTCTACACCTGTGTGATAGTATATACACCACTGAGGTAAGTCAGTTCTACACCTGTGTGATAGTATATACACCACTGAGGTAAGTCAGTTCTACACCTGTGTGATAGTATATACACCACTGAGGTAAGTCAGTTCTACACCTGTGTGATAGTATATACACCACTGAGGTAAGTCAGTTCTACACCTGTGTGATAGTATATACACCACTGAGGTAAGTCAGTTCTACACCTGTGTGATAGTATATACACCACTGAGGTAAGTCAGTTCTACACCTGTGTGATAGTATATACACCACTGAGGTAAGTCAGTTCTACACCTGTGTGATAGTATATACACCACTGAGGTAAGTCAGTTCTACACCTGTGTGATAGTATATACACCACTGAGGTAAGTCAGTTCTACACCTGTGTGATAGTATATACACCACTGAGGTAAGTCAGTTCTACACCTGTGTGATAGTATATACACCACTGAGGTAAGTCAGTTCTACACCTGTGTGATAGTATATACACCACTGAGGTAAGTCAGTTCTACACCTGTGTGATAGTATATACACCACTGAGGTAAGTCAGTTCTACACCTGTGTGATAGTATATACACCACTGAGGTAAGTCAGTTCTACACCTGTGTGATAGTATATACACCACTGAGGTAAGTCAGTTCTACACCTGTGTGATAGTATATACACCACTGAGGTAAGTCAGTTCTACACCTGTGTGATAGTATATACACCACTGAGGTAAGTCAGTTCTACACCTGTGTGATAGTATATACACCACTGAGGTAAGTCAGTTCTACACCTGTGTGATAGTATATACACCACTGAGGTAAGTCAGTTCTACACCTGTGTGATAGTATATACACCACTGAGGTAAGTCAGTTCTACACCTGTGTGATAGTATATACACCACTGAGGTAAGTCAGTTCTACACCTGTGTGATAGTATATACACCACTGAGGTAAGTCAGTTCTACACCTGTGTGATAGTATATACACCACTGAGGTAAGTCAGTTCTACACCTGTGTGATAGTATATACACCACTGAGGTAAGTCAGTTCTACACCTGTGTGATAGTATATACACCACTGAGGTAAGTCAGTTCTACACCTGTGTGATAGTATATACACCACTGAGGTAAGTCAGTTCTACACCTGTGTGATAGTATATACACCACTGAGGTAAGTCAGTTCTACACCTGTGTGATAGTATATACACCACTGAGGTAAGTCAGTTCTACACCTGTGTGATAGTATATACACCACTGAGGTAAGTCAGTTCTACACCTGTGTGATAGTATATACACCACTGAGGTAAGTCAGTTCTACACCTGTGTGATAGTATATACACCACTGAGGTAAGTCAGTTCTACACCTGTGTGATAGTATATACACCACTGAGGTAAGTCAGTTCTACACCTGTGTGATAGTATATACACCACTGAGGTAAGTCAGTTCTACACCTGTGTGATAGTATATACACCACTGAGGTAAGTCAGTTCTACACCTGTGTGATAGTATATACACCACTGAGGTAAGTCAGTTCTACACCTGTGTGATAGTATATACACCACTGAGGTAAGTCAGTTCTACACCTGTGTGATAGTATATACACCACTGAGGTAAGTCAGTTCTACACCTGTGTGATAGTATATACACCACTGAGGTAAGTCAGTTCTACACCTGTGTGATAGTATATACACCACTGAGGTAAGTCAGTTCTACACCTGTGTGATAGTATATACACCACTGAGGTAAGTCAGTTCTACACCTGTGTGATAGTATATACACCACTGAGGTAAGTCAGTTCTACACCTGTGTGATAGTATATACACCACTGAGGTAAGTCAGTTCTACACCTGTGTGATAGTATATACACCACTGAGGTAAGTCAGTTCTACACCTGTGTGATAGTATATACATCACTGAAGTAAGTCAGTTCTACATCTGTGTGATAGTATATACACTACTGAGGTAAGTCAGTTCTACACCTGTGTGATAGTATATACACCACTGAAGTAAGTCAGTTCTACACCTGTGTGATAGTATAACTGAGCACTGCCTATACTACCGCTAAACTATAATATAGATTGTGTGCTGAGGGTGTGCACTTGTTCTCAAAAGCTAAGGTCATTTATATGTTAATGATGCAAGACATATACTGGTAGTATTACCTAACACTATTTGACAGATAATTGTATTGATGAAATTGTGCATTTATTTGACAAGTCTTACAGTATTATGCACATTACCTGTGTAGGCTATGACAACACTCAATAAACGCATCTCCCGTGATTTCATAAGGTGAAAAGACCTCTCTGAAAATAAATGAATAAGAAATCCCATTATTACTGCAGACATACTTCAATTATCACTTTTTCACAATTACATTACATATCTCCCATGAATTTACAAACTGCAACTGCATAAGGAAGGACTTAAGCTTGAGTTCTTAAAAAATGTTGTAATACATTTACAAAAAATGTGGTTGTGTACTTTTACATCAAAAATGTACACTATTGTTTGTCATTATAATGTGTATGAGCAAGATTAATTTTCTCCTCATTGCAAATCTGCTATTAATTTCCTGAATGAACAACACTTACTGACTGCAGACAGTGGACCCTCCGATTGTGTACCACTGAAACAAATATCAAATTTATATTAAAAATGTTTCTCACAAATTTTTACTTTGTGCTGATACATTTATACTACAACAGTGGCATCATATCTCAGTGTGACAGACTGATCCCAAATTTCTCAGGTGTGACAGACTGATCCCAAATATCTCAGGTGTGACAGACTGATCCCAAATTTCATTTATTTCTTAACCTAGGTTGGGATAAGTAGATGTTGTGATGTCATAAAATAACTTGGAAACCTATGATATGGCAACACACAAGTGGGAAATTTTGAACGATCGAAAACCGAGGACTCTACTGACGGAATACAGCAGCTGTCAGTGATAATAAGGATGGTTTTGCATCAATAAATACCCCATTGTTTCAGAGTAGATTTTTGTTGTCAGCACCTCAAAACTTTCCAGCACCATGTATCAAAATGTCTAAGTCTAGTGTCAGGACCTAAGAAATATTGGGCTATAGTTACAGCATGAAATGGAGAAGTCCCAACCAATCAAAGTGAGGTTGTTGTAGTCTCAAGTCAGTGTAACCTTGTCCTGACGAAAATCTAAATCCTAGGGTTTGACACTTTTCATTCCAACACTGTATCTAGTGATGTGTTATACTGTATAAGTGCTTGTAATCTCCCCTAGAAACCTTTGTTACATGGACCATAATAATTCTAGATATGATAAGTGTAACCTTTAACAATATTAGCAATAGATTTATTTTAAAATACTGATATCATATCATTTATTGCTTTTCCTTAATAGACAATCAGTGGAATTTAATGACATTTTTAGTGTGGAATTATGAGATGCTTGAGCCAAAATTATGCACTATGTATCTAATTATAATCTGTCTCATCACAAATAATAATATATTAGCCAGTTATTAATAATTTTCTTATTACATACCTTTACATATCATTATTAGACAGATATAGCCTTTACAGGCCATATTAGTGTAATTAAAACCTGCCACACTACTACCCCCCCCCCTTTTTTAAATGTGTTCGCCCTTGAACACCACAACCCAGATTCTAACTCCCTGTCACCACAGGAAGGGCCACGGACACCATTTGTAACAGGATAGAGAATAGTGTGCTTCCCCCGGGGATTGAACGCTCGATCTCCAGGTTCCTAGTTGGACACTCTACCACTGAGCTAAAGGGAAACTCCCTCTAGCTCGATGCTAGAAGGCGACCTTAATACTATGAACAATGAAAACCTGCCACAGTACACTGTTGGTGTTATATTACATACCTGGAGTTCAGATTGATGAGGTTTTCTGTGTCCGTGTTACGCCTGTTGCGTAGAGTAAGAAACAACAGTACACCAACTACGGCAGCACCACTTAGGCCAGCAAATAGTTGAAATCTCTCGTGATCATCAATGTTTTCCCTTCCTTTCAGCACAAAGTAGCTGTAAATGTTTCCTATGAGCAAGCTGTAAATAAAGTATACAATCACAATATATCTCTACCACATGATTTTCGTCGATCACATTTACAGACAGGGGGTTGTTGGAACCAGTAAGCTATACTTTTGGTCGAGGGATGGAGCCAAAGCTATTAACAGTTAATTAAAATTCAATCTTAACTCAGGACTGAAATCTTCTGAATTATGAGCATCTTTATTCTTCAAATTTAAATCGCCTGAAGAGCCCAAGATGGGCGAAAGCGTTAGCCGATTATACAAGTCTTCGTGTTTTGTTTTATTTATATTTTTACCGTCACATGGACATTTAAAACTATTTATCGCTAATCACACACATATATATATATATATAGAACATGCAGTTTAGATGTATCACCTTTAGCTGTACAGACTAACCATGTACGTGTATATATCTGCATAACCTCAGGCAGAATCAACACTAAAGCTAGCAGTATAGATGTATCACCTTTAGCTGTACATGCTTACCATGTAAGTGTATCTATAACCTCAGGCACAATCAACATTACAGCTAGCAGTATAGATGTATCCCCTTTAGCTGTACAGACTAACCATGTAAGTGCATCTATAACCTCAGGCAGAATCAACATTACAGCTAGCAGTATAGATGTATCCCCTTTAGCTGTACAGACTAACCATGTAAGTGTATATATCTGCATAACCTCAGGCAGAATCAACACTAAAGCTAGCAGTATAGATGTATCACCTTTAGCTGTACAGACTAACCATGTACGTGTATATATCTGCATAACCTCAGGCAGAATCAACACTAAAGCTAGCAGTATAGATGTATCACCTTTAGCTGTACAGACTAACCATGTAAGTGCATCTATAACCTCAGGCAGAATCAACATTACAGCTAGCAGTATAGATGTATCACCTTTAGCTGTACACACTAACCATGTAAGTGTATCTATAACCTCAGGCAGAATCGACACTAAAGCTAGCAGTATAGATGTATCACCTTTAGCTGTACATACTTACCATGTAAGTGTATCTATAACCTCAGGCAGAATCAACACTAAAGCTAGCAGTATAGATGTGTCACCTTTAGCTGTACAGACTAACCATGTAAGTGCATCTATAACCTCAGGCAGAATCAACATTACAGCTAGCAGTATAGATGTATCACCTTTAGCTGTCCAGACTAACCATGTAAGTGTATCTATAACCTCAGGCAGAATCAACATTACAGCTAGCAGTATAGATGTATCACCTTTAGCTGTCCAGACTAACCATGTAAGTGTATCTATAACCTAAGGCAGAATCAACATTACAGCTAGCAGTATAGATGTATCACCTTTAGCTGTACAGACTAACCATGTACGTGTATATATCTGCATAACCTCAGGCAGAATCAACACTAAAGCTAGCAGTATAGATGTGTCACCTTTAGCTGTACAGACTAACCATGTAAGTGTATATATCTGCATAACCTCAGGCAGAATCAACACTAAAGCTAGCAGTATAGATGTATCACCTTTAGCTGTACATACTAACCATGTAAGTGTATCTATAACCTCAGGCAGAATCGACACTAAAGCTAGCAGTATAGATGTATCACCTTTAGCTGTACAGACTAACCATGTAAGTGTATATATCTGCATAACCTCAGGCAGAATCAACACTAAAGCTAGCAGTATAGATGTATCACCTTTAGCTGTACAGACTAACCATGTAAGTGTATCTATAACCTCAGGCAGAATCAACATTACAGCTAGCAGTATAGATGTATCACCTTTAGCTGTACATACTAACCATGTAAGTGTATCTATCTGCATAACCTCAGGCAGAATCAACACTACAGCTAGCAGTTATATGACCACAATTTTAACAGTTGCTGTCATTCATTATCTTCAATATAATAATATAATGATAAACTATTTAGGTAGATTATATTTCTAAAATTCTGTAGAAAAAATATCATATGGTATTCTAGTAAATATCCACCATCAAATGCCACATCTTGATAATATTACCATAAACAATTAGTGGTTTCTTTCACTCAATGAACTGAATTTTCCCGTTGTTTACTCTTACTAACCTGCATTGAAGTAGGGCCCAGAAGATTCCACTATTTCTGGAAACTGTATCTGAATCTGAATTAATTGTGAGGAAATTTCCTTGGGCCGTCCATAAAACTGAAACACAAAATAAAGAAGAAATAATTTCTGAAAACCCAAAATAAGCCATTAAGTAAAAGATTTTTAGTTTAAGATAAAACTCCATGATGAATTTAGATACATTACATTCTAATATTTTTATAATGAGGATCATATTTATATAGCAGGAAAACATGCATCATGGTCAACTGGAACTTAAGTTATGCCTATGAATTGCTTAATTTTGGTGAGCACATACTGTTATTGTTTTCACCGCGATGTTTCAAAATATTTGTACAGATTTTAATTTGCATAAGGAAAACAGCAAACATACAAAAAACACCTGTTTAAATATGAATTTAGGTAAATATTCTCATTATGTCTGAATTACAGTGGACTCTTCCTGAACTGACCACCACTGACACCATAGTATTTGGCTGGTTTGTAGCTATTTAGAGAGTCTGCTTTAAAATAATTGCCAATTGTGTAATGAGAATAGTATGTGAATGCCATATTTTGTTCATATTATAACATATTAACATAAGTATTTGCATTCATGGTTAAATAATTAAGAAAAAATTTACTTTCAATAATGATACAAAATACATATACTTAATTATATATATTTTGAATTAAAGTTTCATTTATTGAGTTTGTTACTGATCATGATGAAAGGTATCAATTCACAAGTAATACTGGTAATGATGAAAAATGTTTCCTCTTTAGAGCTATTTATTTTTTGGATTCGGAAGTATATTCTTATATATACAGCATTATTGAATATTAATTGCCTTATTGAGTATTATCAAATGGGTTTTTTCTTGCTTGGAAATACTTCACTTTTCATCTTTCTATTTTTGTTCCAAACACTCAAATTTCGAATAACTATAATTCCGTAAAATGCATTGCAAAATGTGCTTTATATAGAAAATGGCTTAATCATTTTACAAAAGTGACACTAATAAATTTTAAAATAACAATACTACCGGTATTTACCTTAAGGGTATATGCTAGTCTATTATTTATATGTGACTGGTGTTAAAGTTATGATTATATATTAGCTTACACATTATACTTGTGATTTTTGTTAGAGTTAAGGATATTTGCTACGGTACCTTACACATCAATACCTGTGACTTTTGTTTTGTGTTAGAGTTAAGGTAATATGACACATTACACATAAACCTGTGATTTGTAACATGGGTTTTCCTAGCTATGCTAACTTGCATATGATACCTATGATTTGTGCTGGGAGTTAAGGATGTAATTTACCTAACACATCACATTATACCTGTGATTTGTATAGGAGTTACATATACGATTACATTTGCATATGCTCACTTTCTTATGAAACCTGTGATTTGTGCAGGAGTTAAGGACGTAATTTACTTAACACATCACATTATACCTGTGATTTGTGCAGAGTTAAGGATGTAATTTACTTAACACATCACATTATTCCTGTGATTTGTGCAGGAGTTAAGGATGTAACTTTCATAACACATCACATTATACCTGTGATTTGTGCAGGAGTTAACGATGTAATTTACTTAACACATCACATTATACCTGTGATTTGTGCAGGAGTTAACGATGTAATTTACTTAACACATCACATTATACCTATGATTTGTGCTGGGAGTTAAGGATGTAATTTACCTAACACATCACATTATACCTGTGATTTGTGTAGGAGTTACATATACGATTACATTTGCATATGCTCACTTTCATATGAAACCTGTGATTTGTGCAGGAGTTAAGGATGTAACTTTCATAACACATCACATTATACCTGTGATTTGTGCAGGAGTTAACGATGTAATTTACTTAACACATCACATTATACCTGTGATTTGTGCAGGAGTTAACGATACAATCATGTTACCAGTAACCTTACAAATTACACCTGTGATTTTGTGCTAGTTATCTCCCATAAAAGAAAACTGTTACCTGAACCATAATCACTCTAAATAAGATCAGTGTCACCTATTAACAACAGCATTCCATAGCAAAGATTTTACAGCTGTAGAACTCTTTGGAAAAGGAGACTCAAACCATAGTAAGGACACGTTCATCCTTAAAGTCTACCTGTACCAATAGCCTAATTAACGCACACTGAAATACTCACTTGCTGCTCCAAGTCCCACCAATACCGATCCTGCATACAACGCCCAAGTCATTGGCTTCAGGAAGGACAGGATGAACAATCTGTCTCATAGACAAAATAGGGCACATGCATTTCAAAACACCAGAGCTATATTCAATTGTAATTAAACACGACAATGAAAGAGACTTCTTACTTTCTAGCTTGTGTACTCTGATACATCATTACAGATAGAAATTTCATCATTTAAAAAAAGGTACACTAGAAAACATTATTTACTGTTTTACCACATGAATTAAGACTAAATGTCTTTTCTGCTTATCTTATGAATAAGACTGAATTCTGAGTTCACATAATGCCTTATAATTATCAGTTGTAAAAATTGATGTCTCACAGCTTAAGTCTACTACAGTCTGTTACAATTGTACTGTACTTACAAATAAAGAATGGCACCAATAAACATGGTGTACTTTGGTCCTATAGCACTAACAATAGGGGGAGCTATCCAGTTAGCAGCCGCAAACACTGCATAGATGATACCCAGACTGTAAAATACAACACAACATGTTTAAATCCGTACATCAAATCCTGAAATAACATTCAAAATTATGAACACATTAAATATTTATTTCTTGTCTTTAATTACACCATTAGCCAAATAACTTCAAACATCATACTTGGTACATATAACAACTTCATAATGTATTCTTAAGACTATATCAAAGCAAAAATAGCTAAAACAAGAGGCCCATGGGGCTTAACGGCCACCTTAGTTATGTAAAAACTGATATTATCGATGTTGCCAAATGAAAAAGAAATCATTTTGTAACAAAGGTAACTTGAAATACATGTAATGCAAAAGTAGTGTGAAAGATCTGGGTAGTATATCTGGGTAGTATATGTACTATGTACAAATAGTCTTGAGAAGAGTCAGCTTAATTATGGTTAAGCACCTTAAGACCGTTCCATCTGTGAAGAGTATTTGATTCTACCATATCTGGATCTTGAGAAGAAGATTTTAGAAATTTCAGTCAATTCAACCCTTTCTGGCCCCACCCATCAGCCCCTGGGGGTCAGTCAGGGCTGATATGTGCATACCATCAAACTGCTATCTAATACTGATACTGCTAGCCAAGTTTGAATTAATTCCAATGAAAATTTAACAAATACTGGTCCAAAATGGGATTTCCTTATATAAACTATAGTGAAGTTCACACCCTGCCCAGGGGAAACGTCAGAACCCAGGGTCATGAAATTCACAATTTTGGTAAGGCACCTTAAGACCCTTCCATCTATGAAGAGTATTTGATTCTACCATATCTGGGTCTTGAGAAGAAGATTTTTGAAATTTCAGTCAATTCAACCCTTTCAGGCCCCACCCTGATCAGCCCCTGGGGGTCAGTCAGGGCTGATATGTGCATAACATCAAACTACTATTCAATACTGATATTGCTAACCAAGTTTAAATTAATTCCGATGGAAATTAAACAAATGTTGGTCCAAAATGTGATTTCCTTATATAAACTATAGTAAAGTTTACCCCTTCCCCAGGGGGAAACGTGAAACCCCAGGGTCATGAAATTCACAATTTTGGTAAAGCACCTTAAGACCCTTCCATCTATGAAGAGTATTTGATTCTACCATATCTGGTCTAACAATTTTGATTGACTTTGGCCATGGAAGGTTTCTACAAAATTGAAATTGGTTCAGGGGTTTTGGAGAAGAAGTCGAAAATGTAAATTGTTTACGGACGCACGACGGGCGACGCTGGACAAAAAGGCAATTGCAAAAGTTCACTTGAGACTTTGTCTCAGGTGACCTTAAAATTCATATAAAAACCTGTCTTTTGAAAAACTTATAAATGTCAGCACAAAAATTGACCATTATTTTTCTTTGTTGTACAATGCCAGTCTTTAACTGTTTTCAGGTTAAGGCAACTTAACTTTTTGAACTTTTTGATATGAAAAAAATTTGAAAAATATTTTGTTCTTTTCCATGGATAAATAAAAAAGTTCTCAAGTGACACATAATGACGTTTCAATTTGAACTTTTGAAAAAATTGTTAGTGTACTTCACTGTTGACAATGGATCTACCATAAGCAAATTTTAACTAGAAGTGATTGATAAATGGTAAAAAAAACTTGATTTATATATATCACACCACCAGCAAATTAAGTGGCAGGATGTAGCATATTTTGTCAGTTGATATGGAAAAAGTATTCTTTTTCAAAATTTGTAATCAGAAAATATAGGTAGAATGTGCCATATGATTTCGAAATTTATACCTTATAGAACCATCTCCAGTGAAACTTCCATTTGAATCTTCTCGGGCACTCTTCAAAACAGCAGTCTGCAAAAATATGCATCAAGATATATACACAATGCCATTAAATTGTTCTGTATTGTTCTTCAGGCATGCTTTATTACTTTGCCATGCATCGATCAATTATCATCCATTGTTGATTTGCTTCATACATGCATCTACAAGGAAAATAAGCCAGGCAGCTCAGCCTATATAATTATATTAAGTGCCTGTATCTTAAAAGATGGAAACTTTAACATTAACACATTTTTTTTTTAAACTTTACGTTTTTAATTAATGTTTGTAAGGATTCTCCTCCATGGGATTATATTAAATTTCAAACGGTTAACATGTATGTTAACTTAAGATAAGTTGGAAGCATATTAAAAATGAAGCGACTCGCCCCTACCGAAGTTGACTATATCTGTATATGTACACGTTGTTGTTGCAGACGGGACGAGTTGACATAATGACAATCTCAAGAAAACAATAACATTAAATGATTTTTACTTTGCATTTATTCGTCTGTTAAAACCATGTTTACTGATGCACCCAAAACATATTTACCTCTGACATCCCTGCTGTTTGAAACGCTGTAAACAAAAACATAAATGCAAATCCTACAAGGATTATGTTTACCAGCCGAACATCGAATACACCTTCTTCCGCCATCTTGTTCAAAATTATTAAAGTCACATGATTTCTACGATTGGCGGAAAAGAACGAAGATTGATCTTTTTTAAAATGACCATCAAAAATCAATATTATCATTTCAATATTGATTTTATTCAAAACCAAATTATATTCTTACCTTAAATATATTTTTGTATGTAACATTAATATGTTTTTTTCTTGACGGGGAAGCTAGGTAGAAAATACGCTCCATTTTGAAGCATCAACGAAACAAACATACAACCGAGCAAGACTTTCCGACAAATGACGTCATTGCCGCATGAGCGCGAAGAGGAAGCGTTTTACCCACGTTGCGTGACAAAGGCAGGACAACTATTTGGAACGGTGCTGGTATTTACTCGATTGTTTTAAATTTGATTGCACTGTGAACACTTAAAAATGAGTTATGGTCGAGGACCACCCGATATTGAGGGGATGGCATCCCTCAAAGTGGACAATTTAACCTACAGAACGACGCCGGAAGATTTGCGGCGTGCCTTTGAAAAATATGGCGACGTTGGAGATGTGTACATTCCCCGCGACAGATTTACTCGTGAAAGTAGGGGATTTGCCTTTGTACGATACTACGACAAACGTGATGCGGAAGATGCGCTTGAGAGTATGGACGGCGCTATCATGGATGGGAGGGAACTGAGAGTCCAGATGGCGAGATACGGACGTCCCAACGAGTCCCACCGAAGTAGGGCACCACCTCGCCGAAGCTATGGGTATGGACGGTCTCGGTAAGGGCTCAATGGCTGTACCGATTTTCTTCTTTATATTATTATTGAGCTTGAAATATAAAACATCACTGTAAAAATAACGATAATGCCATTTCTGATGTCGTCAAAACTCAAAATAAAGTTGTTTTATTCTCCCGAGGCAACTACAAATTCCACGTGGTACTAGGCGTTTTTTTCTATCCTATGCAAAGATCTACCTAAATGTTAAATGAGAACTTTCTACAATAACTCGTGTCATCTTTTAAAATATTGTTCACCCAAGTTTGTTATTTTGTTTTGTATAATGAACTATTTATGTCGATTAATGTAAAGATGAATGTTATATTATGATTATCCGAATTAAAATGTTTATCTCTGGCGTAAACGTTACTATCAAAAGTTTTAATTTTGCTTTTGTTTTAATCTTTCAGGCGGTCAAGGTCCCGATCTCGTTCTAGATCAAGAGGAAGAAGATCAAGGTCACGATCAAGGAGGAGGCGTAGTAGGTCACGATCCCGCAGTCACTCCAGGTCAAGGAGCTACAGTCGCAGTCGTAGCAGGAGCAAAAGCAAGAGCATAAGTCGCAGCAGAAGCAGATCAAGGGATGCCTCTAAATCTCCATCAAGGTCGCCAAGTCACAGAAATCATGATGACAACGCCGGTGACGACTGAGCTAAAAGTCTTGATATCATCAATATTGAATGAAAGAATGATGACCGGCATAGCTTATCCTTTCCATGTTGACTGGCTGAGCACATACTGTCATTCAAGCCGATCATGTGACAATGAAAGGTTACTATTTTATAGATACATTCATCCCCATATGTAGTAAAATCGCTCATTTTATTAAAAGATCGTTGCTCAGTCAAACTAAACAGTGGAATTTATATTGTGGAGAAAAAAGTGTTCCAATATCATTTTGTGATTTCAGAAAATCATGCTTGGAGTTTTATTTTCAAGTTGAGAAATCAAATGACTGATTAAAACATGCATGTACCTGTATTTTAAGCAATGTGAAAACACTTTTGAGAAGGAAACTCCTTTGAACTATTTTAGTATTGTGCAACTCATGATAGACACATTTTATTGTAAATAAATCATTCAGTCGTTTCCATTAACACATGATTTCTTCTATTTCACATGTGCTGTAGGAGCAGTAAGGTGTTAGTTATGCTGTGTGCTGAATACAGCTGAGAAAGAGGGGCTTGCAGAGTGTACTGCCAGGGGTTCGAAATCCTGCCGAAGCAGTTGCTGTATTTGCTCTGCAGTCCGGAGTGTTGCTGGTCATGCTCGGGTGGCAGATCCTGTTAGCTGTTTCTTCTTGCCTCCAGATTTTTTTTTTCAAATCAAAAAAATTAAGACGAGATAAAACAATAACAACTTCTGTTAATGTGGAAAAGAATATCACATTCATACATAGACAACAACAAAATCAGTGTTGTGATTAAATAATTCCTATGCGTTTAAAAATTTTGTAATGAATTTTGAAGAATCTGCGAGAGCTTGTTGAATACCAAAAACTTAAGGGGAATAAAACAAGAACAATGTGTTTATTAACTGCAGCATATTCCATCAAGAATAAACCCTTTAATTTGTTAGATGTTTTCAGGACACGTCTTCAATAATATTTGCAGGGTTCAGAATTATAGATAGCTAGGTGCAAGTAGAGTATGAATTTCGAGGGGCCCGGTGAAAGCTTTTTACTTTAGTCTGGAATACCTGGACTCAGGATTTTTTCTCGCATAACCTAGTGGAGGGGATATAAATGCTCCCTTTTTCTCCTGGTTCATACAACATCTTTGCTGGACATTTTGTTAGGTTTCATTACCCAATTGAAGAAATTTTGAGTGGTCGTAAACCAGTATATCAAATTTGGGTCACTTGGACATACTTCTTGCTTCATTGATTTGGCCAGATATTTTAGGTCAGTCGTCAAACTTTTAATATGCGAATATAATCTCGAGGTTTGCAAAGGTTTTCAGTGGCACCAGGTATGATCATTATCTTCCATTCTTCAGGAAAAAGGAACTGATCTTAAGCACTTAAACTGTTATACTAATAATGTAGGTCACTGTGGCATTGTAGATATTTTCTACTTCAGTGACTTAAAACATTTTTTATGCTTAGCATTTAAGATTTATCGCAAATACTACTTCTAATCTGAACTCTGAAGTACTACACCAATATATCCTGTGTAGGTGGGGCTTGCTAGGGTCACAAACTAACCCTTTCAGCTGAGCATTAATATTTATTGTTACTAATGTAATGGCTTTCATTACAATCACAACTGGTCTACTTTGAAGTTCTCTCCAAAGATTTACAGCTAAAGGGACATGGATTAAGGCAGTTGAGAGTCCTAAACTGTATTTGGAATACAATATCTTGAAATAAAATGGAAAATAAGGTAATACTACTTTTTGCTCATTATGAACTTGCGATATTGCTCTACGTTTTTTCAATAATTTTGTGAAGGAAGGCACTTCAGTATCCTACATTGTTTCTAAACTTACACGGTAAGCTTGACTACATGTGCCTTATGCAGCTAGCCAAATAATTCAAAATCTTTGAATGATGCCGTCCAAAATGTTTCATTTCATTTTCACTATTTCAAATTGAACAAAGAATCCAATTGATAATGAATGCAACTTTTTTTCCAACAATTCATTTTCCAATTAATTTAAAATTTTGTGGTAAAACATGCCTTTTTGGCAGATTTACACCAATTGTTTTCCTCCCTAGGTTTAGATTAATGTCGGACTGAAAAATGAGCAGAATTTGTATAATACTAAATAATATAATAGTTTGTATATGAATTTTTGTAGAGTGTAAATAGGGTTGATAGGTATTGGTAAAATATATGATTTGAATTTCAATTGCTGTTTTTGGATTAAGATATTAAATGGTGTTTTATTAAATTAATCTTTAAACAACACTGTAAGCAGTTCAACATTACAAGGCCGAGACATTTGTATGCAGGGTTCCCACTACGTGGAAGCAAATTTTAACTTTACTGGTTTGGAGTGCCATGCTAAGCTTATGTGGTGGTCACAAACTGGGTCCTCGAGACTCAAATTGGTTAAATTTGTTTTATGTCCTCTTCATCCTAAACTTCAAGACCAGTTTCAAACAAATAGTAATTGTAACATCCCTCTGTCAATGTGGATCATAATGTTTCTAAATAGTACAGGTGTTTGTTGTCCAAGCCCATCTGGTCCAAAATATAAAGTGAGCTATTGCCAACTTATTCCGTTATCAAATTTGAAAGGAAGTATCCCCAAGACGAGACGATTGATATTTACAAAACAGGGACTCTGAAGAAACTATTAAATAATAAGTTGTATACATATATATATGCATCTGTGAAAGAGGTTGGGGGTGGGGGATGGACACAGGTGAAGTTTTGAAATTACTCTCGCACCTCATTTATATAAGGTCGCTATACCAAGGATCAAGGTGCTTGTGCAACTATATCTTTCCAGTTCTGCGAACACAACACTTATTTTCGTAAACAAATATTGTCGGACACGTGAAGCTGCTCTCTTTTACATATTGGTAGAGGTTCACGATCATATACTTCACGTAAAGAGGTTAAACGATCGATTTTTGAGAGCGAAACATTATGTTGACATTAAAAAAATAGCATTTGAAGTGGGGTTTTTTATGAAAATAAATCAAAGGTGTATGACCTTTCCATCCGCGGATAGAAAATCTTGCCTGAATCTTCACATAGAAAAAGATTTAGTAACGCTTTTAAGCAGAGGTCATAGAAAACATGACCTCTATAAATTCACCATCTTCCAAGTTGCATTTTCAGATAACAAATGAGGCTGGACATTCTTTGTTAACAAAATGTAAAGGTACTTGATCGCTTTACTGCATTATCAAATTTCAACAGATATATGGGCAAACACTAAAGAAACTAAATAAGCGCAGTATTTCAAGCGCTTTAATTAAGATTATGCTTAACGTGATGTAATTATTTGACATTTAGCCTATGAGTCTAATGGCTCAGAAATAAAGAAAATAAACTGATCCCTGGAGTACTGGGTCTATTAAAAGTCATTGGAACAAAGGAGTATGTTGTTGAAGACACGGTAGGACGCCAGGCTTGTGACCAAGGGGTTGCAGGTTCAAGTCGAGGCATAGATCTGTGTTGTATCTTTGAGCAAGATACTTTACTACGCTTGTTCCAGTCTACTCGGCTGTAAATGAGTATGTGGTTGGGCAGTGCTAGAATTGTTGAATGCTAGCTGTTGGTGCCGAAATGGCAGCTCCGGCTGTTTGCAAAGGCCCTATAACCACAGATAATATGAAGTTTGTTCATCCAAAGGATTATTTTTTGCATTTTTTCTCCAGCTGGTGAACGATAACGAATTTATTTGGACAACACGTCTTTTTTAAGACATTATTGTTGAACTACATATATACACGTAGTTAGATTTAAATTCTGGATAACAGAATTCAACACATTCTCGCATTACATTACCAGCTAAGGATAGTGTTACTACATAGGCGGTTAATTTTAGCGTTTAGAAAATGGCCTGAGTATAATTGTTTATATAACTTAGCTAGAATCAACTCCCCTGTTGTGGTTTACCCTGCTTATCAAATCGGCCGACTTCGTTATCCAAATAATGGAGTGTTGACTAATTACCTGATCCTTCTATACAAAACAGCTCAACCTGTCCTTTGTCATTCATTTCTACTGCTCTATTTGACTGAATCACTCGAACAAAGACTTCAGTAGATCGCTGTATTCAAGAGTGACGTTTTGCACGTGATAAAAGGCTGTAAACATAAGTTGTCTGTTACTGATGATATCGCGGTACCGGATGTTTGCGATGATTCTGCATGCACTGCTTCAAATTTTTGCGCATACCCTGTGTGTTGAGTGTTGAAAAGATCTTGCTTGATCTATAGAATGAACTACAGTGGCTGGTTAAAGAGACATATTTTTAGTCACCCCGGTGGGGATTTTTAATTTCGGTTTCGGTCCCAGATTTTGACCTGTTGTCCAAGGCTTTTAAGTGTATGCTTCTGTCAGAATATACCTGGCACTAATTACAAGCTCTTGGATAACTTTGAAATTGATTTCCTTTTTAAACAGAAATAGGATAAAACCTAAAGGCGATCCAAATTTCCCACAGGAATCGCATATAACCTACAGATGTTCCTAGTATGAATCGGCCCCCTTTAAAATTCCCGAAGAGGTAAACTGTCGTATTATAAATAGCTATTGACTGATTAATCTATTGTCTGACTAACGACTACTAATAATATTTGTATATACTGTGCATTGTTTTAAGGAAACCTGAATTGTCAAGAAGGAAAGGATGTACAGGATACTCGAGAACAATCTAAAACCTGTGGTAGCAACCATTTCTTGTTAAAATTTTGAGGATATATGGATTTTTTTTGAAATATGCTCGAAGCAATAAAATTTCGTTGACTAATCCCTGATTGCATTGCCAATTTAACAATGTACGAAAAGTTGCAAGTTTATGTCGTATTGTACGATAGAATCGGATAAATACACTAGTAAAGTAGGCCCAACTTTTCAGAACGTTACGAATTGATAAATACCACGTATCGGGGGGAAAACAACGAAGAATTGCATCGAATTTATCATTCGGTGGTTTAAATGTCGTTCTTGGGTAAAATCATGCTGAACTCGTCAATTCAGTTATAAAGTTTATGTACCTCAAAGAGCCGAGGTCGCGTAATTTTATTAACCGGCAGGAATTTACAAGATGACATCCATGCAAATTGAACCGATAATGATAATAAGTTTGAAAAATAAATATTAACAGGTTCAAAACGGCCAAATACATTCGGATTTTTTCTTTACGAAGGAGAATTGCTGAAACCACAATTGTTGGGTGTTCTTCATGTCTCGCAAATTCGGCTGTTAGCGGTCCTAGTCGGACATGTTTGTACACATTCTATGAAAGGCAGTTCATGTCAAAAACGAGATAAACTTATGCGTTAAACAAGGTTTTAACGCGTTAAATGCTATCGCATTAAATATACAATTTTATCGCGTTAAGTTAATAGGATTGTGTCACCAGTTTTCAGTAGAATTTCTTCAAATTTTGTAGTTATATTGCTTTAAAGTAAAGAAAAAAAAATATAGGTCTGAATTTTAAGGATTTTAAATGGAAATTTATGAAAAAATGAGTGAATTTTGAAAAAAACATTAAAGACGGAATATTTTTACAAAATAATGTCAATAAAAATGATACTGACATACATTGGTATTGCAATAATGTATATCAATTTAATAAATGCTGAAATTGTGTAAAATTAATTCACGATATAAAAATTGACATTTTATAATAAAACCATATACACATAGTAATTGCAGGCAAGAGTTATCGTTCTTGAAAAACTTCACAGTAGTGAAATAGGTAGCCGGTTTCCTGAAGTACAGAAAAATGGACACGTGACTCATTGATAAAAAAAACACCTGAATTACCTGGATTGCTTTGAAATACTTTAATATTGAGAGAACACACTTTCAATAATAAACATACAATATTCATCAGTTTAATATTAAAATTTATTAAATTTGAGGAAATTGTGAT